AAAAATAATTTTAATCTTTGACTGAACAACAGTGCGTCCATTGCAGAGAGAAGTTTGTCAGATTAGCCTATTTACTTAGTATTGTCTCCATAAGTCATTTATTTGTGATGCGCTGTTATCACGGTGCTGTTATACACTCTTAGCATTTGTGTTTCTATAAGATGTTTGAATGTATCTTGATTCAACTACACAATATAGACAAAATTCTCTAACGTTCCTCTACTTCTGCTGTAGTACCTTAATCCCTTGTTGTTTTTTTCGACTTTGAGTACATTGAAACACTGCATCGCGAAATCTCTATACCTGAATTCTACTAGAAATGAATAGAACCTTACCATTTCCAGGTCTAGATGTTTGGGGTAACAGAGGAAGAGTAAGAGGCAACGCCGTAGTAGCGTTAGAAGAGGTGTAACAGACAACACCGATGTCTTCTCTGTGAGTACAGTCATTTACTCCCCATCCTCGGTACGAGCAGGTAAACAGGCTACTCTCCGACCCAGTGCACTCCAGGTCATCCATGTAGATGCCACCCGAGCCTATCATGCAAAACAAAGCGTATCCTGATTTTCTAATTTGTTTTATGACTTAGCTCTAAGATTTATAAAAAGTACAAGTACTAGTCTGAAAGTGCATATCAGGTAGGGTTATGACAGTATCAATAATTAATACTGAGTCATAGCCCTTAATACGTGCATACCTGATTGCCAGCATTGCCTTCTGGAGAAGCAGTTTGGTTTGCAATAGCGGTTAGTATCATATAGCAGTATATATCTTATCATAACAGCTGGTACAATACCTCGAGCTTTGGTTATTTATCCCATTCGTTTACTACCAAACAGAAATTGTCATGGAAAAGCGTGCTAGTACGAAATAACGTTTAACACAATTTTTTGGCTTAACACGTTTTCCTACCACAAAGATTATACGTACTAAATAACCAAGTCTATACCTTGTCCATAATACGCCCGGCCATGATATGCCGAAGCTCCGGTATATCCCAGCATCCTACAGACAACCCTGGCGTCATTCAAGCCGAATAAGTCGTCACAAACGGTCCCCCAGCTGTAACTGTAGGACGGCCGAACCTCCACACGACCTACGTGCGGTCCTGATCCTCCGACCAACCGGATTCTGTTGGCTTGTTGGAAAAAATAATTCTAACTTTGGACTGAACAACAGAGATAGCCATTGTAAGGTTATTTATTGTCTCCGTATGTCATTTATCTGTGATGCACGTAAATTCTAACCCGACTACTGTGACTATCAATGTCCGGCATTTTGCTCGTGGACCAAATATCACGGTAACAGGGTAATTCGAGAATGTTTTTGTTGACCAGGTTGGTCAATAAGAACTACGTGATCAAAAGCACATTTTTGAGGTACGTATAACATATCTCAGAAATTACAAAACCATAGCATGTCCTAACCCCAACCTACCTACGTCATGACGAAACATTAATATTCACCACACCCCAAGTTATAACCGTTTAGAAATCGCCAACCCTTATGTATGGTGTACCCAACACATAAACGTATCGACGAAGGTAATTAACAATGTGTCTTCTGCGATACTAAAGAAGACGTATATCGTTATGATAGAATCATATACCACATTATGGTACATAGTTCATAGTCCACATAACCACTGCAGATGGGTGACACGGCAATGTTGATGGAAAATGTAATACTTACCGACGTCGACGCAAGTGACATTCACACGACTGTGTGGAAAAAATCCGTTGCCGCTGAACAGGTGCCAGGTCCCAGTGATGTCTTCCGCGTAGACGCTGGTGTCGTTTGCTACATATAATCCTACAACAGTGTCCCCCAAAGTAGGACCAACATACCAACGTATCCTCCCTTGGCTGTTGGAGTACGAATACAGATATTCACCACCAGAGGATTTATACACCGGACGATCATTGCGAAACTCTCCTGTCATGTCGTAGGTTGTCATCCGATTGGATTGGACCAAGGTCGAACCGGAAATACGGACCGTCGGGCAACCTAATATGGTAACAGTTAATTGTCATTACCTTCGCCAAGAAGGTTATGTTTTCAGTAGCGTTTGTGTGTGTGATTGTGGTTTAGCAAGATAACTCGAGAAGCAGTGGATGGATTGGAATGACACTTGGTAGGTGGGTAGGTCTTCATGAGACCTAGAAATGATTAGATTTTGGGGCCCCTGGCGGCTTTCCTAGGTACTGCAGCAGATATCTCGTGATCTGGACATGCTAGGGTCATGACCTCATTTACATAATTTATGAGGAAGTGCTATAATACTTTTAGTAGTAGCCTTTTTGTTAAGATAAGGCTATCATTGGCTGGAGAATAAGATCAACTGAAATAATCCATGCAAATGAGGCTCTTATTTACAAAATCAATGATTAAAATTGTATACTTCGTCAACCGCAAGGGTTAACATTATTTGGCGAAGGTATGAGATCGTGGAACTCTTGTTTATTATAAGTTTGGATTTTGAATGCGGCTGAATAAGTATATTTTGAATGCATCTACATCTTCATCTTCATCTTTGCCGGGGCTCAAAGATGTTATGTGAGCCCCGGCTACACCCCCATATAGCCCCTGATGGGGCACTTTAGGGGGGGGAGGCCTTGGTCTAAGGCGGGCAGGCCTCCAGCCTGGCCCGGAAGGACTCAACGGTGGGAGCCATAACTACCGGGCCAGGCAAGGCGTTCCATTGGGGGATTGTGCGAGGGAAGAAGGAATATTTGTAAGTGTCTGTTCGTGCATGTATAGGTTGATATTTATACTGGTGGCTCCCTCGGGTACGCCCTTGGGCTGGCTTGAGCAGGTTGCTGGTGGGGATCTTAATAATATTATGGGTCAGTTTGTAAAAAGTTGTGAGGCGGGCCTTTCTCCTCCTTTCGGAGAGGAGAGCAGGTCGTTGAGCATTTGTGTCACGCTGCTAGTCCGCTGGTAGTCATTCAGGGTCACTCGGGCGGCCCTGCGCTGGACGGCCTCCACCGCCTGTATCCCCTTGGTGGTGTACGGGTCCGAGACGGTGGCACTGTATTCCAAGTGGGGCCGAACCAGCGCTTTGTAGCAGGTGGCCTTGACCCGAGATGGGCAATGGGTCAAGTTGCGCCGAATGACCCCTAGGACTTTACCAGCTTTGCTAGTGGCGTGGTTGATATGGGTGTCCCACCGCAGATCGTCGGACAATTGGAGTCCGAGATAAGGGTGGGTCTTAACTGACGTTAGGATTTCATTACAAAGAGAATACTGCGTTCTGGTAGGATTTCTTTTACGGGAAATGTGAAGGATATGGCATTTGGAGGGATTGAACGACATCTGCCAACGGTTTTGCCACTCCGTCAGCACATCAAGGTCAGACTGCATGCCTTGGGCGTCGGAATGGTTGCTGATAGTTCTACATAAGAGACAAAATCCGTTATACCTCTTCTACCAATGTTTATAATATACTTCTACAGGAATGGCTGAAACACTACATTAGTGAGTTCTCTTGATCTGCCCAAATTGCAAAGGGTTTTAAATTTCACCTCACCGGAAGAACAGACGACGCCGACGTCTTCACTATGAGAACAGTCATTTAGTCCCCATCGTCGGTACGAGCAGGCAAGCAGGCTACTCTCTGTCCCAGTGCACCTTAGGCCATCCATGTAGATGTTCCCAGAGCCTACCGTTTAACACAAAATGCACATAACAGCCATTACCTAAGTACTCGCTTGTCTGTAGGTATGCTTAGTGAGCTAGTATACGCTAATATACGCATCTAAAACTGCCAGAGAATGGATATGATTAAGTAACGTCAGGTCAACTGTACAGAAGGCTGGTTGGCATATGGATACAATACCTTGTCCATAATATGCTGAGCCATGATATGACGAAGCTCCCGTATATCCCAGCATCCTGCACACAACCCTGGCCTCCTTCAAGCCGAATGAGTCGCCACAAACCGTCCCCCAGTTGTAACTGAACCACGTCCGAATCTCCACTCGACCTTCGTGCGGTCCTGAGCCACCAACCAGCCGGATTCTACTGGCTTTAAGATGGGAAAATACTTTTAATGTTGAGATTCAACAAGACCCTCAAACGTATCATGTAATACATCTACACTTGTAAAATTAGCTTGAACAATGGTGTGTCCACGTCAAGAAGTTTTTTTTTTTTTCAGATTAGTCAGAGTACTTTATCGTCTCCATATGTCATCAATCGGCGATATCTAATCCACAGATAGACACACAGCAGCCTATCCTTGTCTGGCGTTATGATCTTGGACCAAATACCGCGGTAATCTTGCGTCAGATCGGTGTAGCAGGTGGAACAATGGCGTTGGCCAAAACATTTTTCGCGTTCAATGCCCCCCATTGCCGCTTTTGTTTGCTAATACCCTGGGTGAGTACACTAACGATCGTTTCCAAGGAATACTAGTAAAAAATCTAAGCCAGCATGGCAGTCCCCATACAATAGGTGACGGGTCATTCCAGTGAAATATTCTCAGTCAGGTAAGTCAAATAACAAATATTAATACGTGACCAAGAGCACAGTTAGTTGTGAAGTAACGTGTTACAAATCTACTAATTAATAACCTCAATGATAAACATGTCTTTTTCTTCGCTCGTTTTGGCGGAAGAGAGAAAACCAAAAGCTCTTAATGTCACAGTTAGCCATCTGATATACATTTCATTAAGTTGCTATCCATCGCTAGAGCAACAACGTAACACAACATATGCCGCACTAACAAAATCATATCACTAACTAGTACCACATTATGGTACATTGTTCTTTTGAAACAAGTTTCTTCACATAAACACTGCCACGACGCATACGTCACATGAACATTAAAGCTGGCGACCGTGTGCTTAAAACTCTTTGGTTTTATGACATACGCACTCCACATAACTTACTGAGGTGCTACAAGCAGAAACATTAACCGTGTTATTTTAATGTGAAGTTGCTACAGCGTCGACCGCGTCTTCTGTCTAAACACTTTCTCAAAGTCCCGAGGCAGTTTAAAGTACAAACACCAAGCAAATATGTTGGTTTTGACACTTAAACTTTTATGACATACACATTCCACGTACCTTGTTGAGAGGAGCTGTTGAACAGTGTGGCCAGAATAAGCACAAACAGCCACCGAGCCATCTTAACGCCTAGTGGTTATACAGCGTCCCTCGACTCCTTCCTTTTATTCTTTTTTCAATGGCGCGTTGAAGTGTTAGGAAAGTCTAAAGGTCTGTGATCAAATTTGTTTGTTCGTCGCTCGGCGTGGGGTGAAGCCGTCAATCATAATGGATAATGAGCATGCGTATGTAAATGTGATCACGTGATATTATTGACTGTTACTTTGCTCTTCGATAAATGCGACTCCTCGTGTTCCGACCTTGGACTTTGACTCAGACTGTAAAAATGGAATGGACCGAAACCGGTTCAGATTTGCTCTGACTGGAGATGTAAGTCAAGAGGGACTCCTCAATCTGAATTACGACAACTTCTTAGGTTCGTAAGCTCTGTATATCTGTCAATGATCTTCCATCATGATATGACTTGATGATATGCGCCATTACCTGTTAAAAAAGTTGGACGCAAAAACAACATCAATAGCTATGTTGAAAAATACTCCTTTATATATTTTACATTCCATATCTTTGTGACAAATAGATAAATATTGACCATTAGAAATACAAGTAGATGCCGAGTGAAGTCCGCGTCACAATAATATTATTATAATCCACGTGTTTCCGAATAAAATATGAAACCGGTATATGCAGCAGTGAAATATTACAGCCGACAAATAATAATCAAAGTCTGATCCTGGGAAAATGTTTGTAACTAATATTTCCAAATAGAATTCCGATAGCACAGTTTGGGCCTATTTGTCCACTAGGAATTGTTGGGTTTTGAAGGCCAAGTTGGACGACGTGCTACGTCATTCCATATTTGAACGGTTCGGGGGGAGGGGGATACGCCGGGTCGTGGGTAGGATGGAACTGGGGAGGTTGGGTAGGCATGTTCACAGCGGTGTTGTAGGCGGGAGGGGGTGGGTACTGTGGGGGAGGGGGGTAAGGGTTATACGGGGGATTTTGTGGCACCACGGTAGGGCGGTGGACCGTCGTCGTGTTGTTCATCGTCACTGGCTGCGGGTTGGCCGCCCGGTTAGCAGGCGTGGGACGTGGTTTGGCATTGATCCAGCGGTGGATCAGCACTGCCAACAGAACGACACCGACCAGCACGCCGACGACGATACCGGCGATGGTGCCGCCACTCAGTTCTGTACCTGTGGAATATCATAACGATTATTACAGATTTCTGCGATTGTTTCATTTAATTATCTGCAAAGAAACTGTGCAGATACATGTATATAATTATTATCTATTTTGTGCAAGACAAAGATACAGTGAACTTACATCTTTCTGTACGTTCTTTTAACTGTCTATGCATTCATTTTCTAAATCGCCCATAAACTATGTTCATAGGTTATGGGGTTGATAAATTATGATATATAACATGTCCATAGCATCGATCAGTTGATGTGTATGACGCATATATATATATATTGTGATTAGACAAGTTCTATGTAGTTTCTTGATATACTGCTATAAACATGTATTCTTACCTGTGTTCTCGGTGACACTCGAACCTCCATCACCTCCAACATGGCCACACCTATCCCGCGCTGCGACGATCTGTTCTTTCGTCATGGCGTAGTCGTACAGCTGGATACAGCCTATCCGGCCAGCGAAGTACCGACCGTCTCCGTCTCTCACTGCCACCCGGATGGGGTACTGAGTTGCGACCGACGGGACCCCGATCTGCCTCTGGCCGACCACGTCACCGTCGTTCCAGATGGACTCCACCCCCGTGGAAATGTCGTAGGTTCCGCCCACGTAGTTCCAGGCGTTCTGCCGCAGAACAGTCGCTCCGACGGCAACTGGGAAATGCCCATCTCGTCCCACCGTCCTGAAACAGACAATTGGTTTGTTACAATCTTATCAACCGATGAGAGGGAAAACAAACATACAAACAAATCCTAGGTTCTATTGTTGGTATGATTTTCACACGTTTGATAACATGTTTCCCATTTTGACAAACTTCATTGTGCACAGTCATTTTTGGAAGGTCGTGACGGCTACTTCTCAGATGTAAATGATCTGTCATGTTGAGAGCTATCAATGCCTCTGATCGCTACTCTACTCTACTCTACTCTACTCTACTCTACTCTACTCTACTCTACTCTACTCTACTCTACTCTACTCTACTCTACCATACTTTACCCTACCCTATCCTACGGCCCAACCCTACCCTACCCTACCCTACCCTACCCTACCCTACCCTACCCTACCCTACCCTACCCTACCCTACCCTACCCTACCCTACCCTACCCTACTCTACCCTACCCTACACTACACTACACTACACTACCCTACCTACTCTACCCTACCCTACTGAATAAACAGATGAGCGAACAAACAGGAGCTATAGAATAGACTGGAAACCAGGCAGGCTATGGACGTACCTCATGAACAGCTCCCGTGGAGCCGTTTGCCAAAGATGTACCGCCCAGGCATTGTTGCTCCCGACGTAGTTGAAGATCGGCCCGGCTTGACCTGTAGGATATATGTGTGCCAGTATGGTGTAGGAGGACCGTACATCCAGCCTGCCGTTGTTGGGGATGTCGATGTAGGAACTTGCCCTCCCGGAAAACAGGAAGGCGCCGCTGGCGTCTCCATTTGGACCTGGTGCTAACTGGGTTCCTCTTGCTACTCCGTCATTTCCGTTTCCTGTTGCGTCTGATGCTCCGTACTGTGAGTTCAATGGCCAGAAACCTACTGCGTCAGCTAAGCAAAAAATGTATGGGGTTCAAATTAGTATATTACGTTTCTATGAGGTAACAATACACACTTGTAGTGTGTAATTGCAGCATTTTATTGATGGCATCTGCAGTAAAGATGGCATTGTGAAATACAGTTTATGCAAATTAGGACAAAATTAACATATCTATGATGGATACTTTAGCAGTTTCTTTCTTCCAAGCCTTTATCAAGTAGGTATTTCTTAACTGTGGTTTGTGCTGTTGATTACATATACAATGTGGACAAACCTGTATTCAGGACACCGGCTCTGTCGTAGAACACATTATCCGGGTCGCTTTTATCCGTTTCTGCGCATGTCTGGGTCTTCGGGAAACATCTTCTGTTGTTCCAAAACATGAAGGAGACGCAGTCAGGGTGATTCGTGCACCGTTCTGCGCATGCGCCCAGGGTGATGCCGTCTCCATATATAGACCAGATGTCGTTCCCAGGGCAGTCTCCCGCACGAACGGTGTACCCGTTGACTGTGGTAAAGAATAATACCTTTATTGTGAAATACCTTTATTGTACATTCATGCCACGACGGGCTAGGTACAGGTCAAGATACTGAGTATGACAGACACATAACAAACGTATATAGAAAATTGGAGACAAAATATGCACTACTTGACTTAGACATACATACATAAGGAACATACAAGGGTACTATACTAGGCTAATACATAGTGTTCTAGTCACTGAGCTAATACAGACAGGTCAACTTCTTCTCGCTTTTTTGTACAGTGGAAAATAATGAGAGGCTGAGTGGAAACGCAAAATACTGAATACAATAAGAGTTGCAAGTGATATATAAACTAGAATCAAACATTAGGCTCAGACCGCCCTCTAGCAAGAGCATACTATAAAAGTCGAAAGTACAATGTACTTGTGTATACATGTACTAGACATATATAACGTTACATCTAACGTCATATACTTTGTATATGATGTGTTTTGTGCTTTGCCAAGTGGGGCAAAAATGTACAATAATATAATGGTCTTCATTCATTATAAACAAGCCGTTCTGTTCGCAAAACGGAGCAAAGGAATGAAAATATGAAAGATAACGTTATATATATATACTGTCGTTTTGAAATGAAGATTAATTATTCAATTTGATAGAATGTGTTATCTTTCATGGCACTGCCTTCACTCAGCGACTACGTTTTAGTCAGTTCTACCCTACCTAGAAATTGGAAGAATGCCGATTAAGTCGCCATGATAGACCCTGCCACGGGGACAATACATACCGCAATGCCTTCCGTGTTATGTTACATTGATAAACATGAAGTCAGGACGCATAAGTTAGAGTTTGATTTATGATTTTTTTCTGATCTATGTGAGTTAACAGGACTCACTTATCTCTTAAGACCAAAGAAGCTTGTTTAATACACAAGATAATTTTCCAAGCTGGTGTTATAAAGTTGTAAATTCCTTGTGTTCTCCTAACGTTACATGTATTGGGCATGGGGCCGAGTGGACTAACTTAACATGACCAAAATTGAAAGTATAGACTGTGAATTTGCTAACTTGAGAAAGGATATAGGCCTCCGTATCATAGTCAAATGGCCTCAAATCTGGTAATTTGGTGCAGACTGGTTTTCATTTTGCGGTATATATTAAACCCCGGATGACTCGGAATGTATCGTCATGATTACAAGTGTCAGAACAAAGATGGCGGCCACTCACCTGCCGGGTAGTCTTGCCCGATCACACCTGTCCCACTCAGGAGGAATAACACCAGTGGTAGGGCCCGCACGGCAACCACAGTCTGACACACACTGTCCTTCATCTCTCCAAAGTAGTAGAAGATGTGAAAAACTTGTCTTTGCCCCCCAACACTTCACATGTTGGAGGGAACGCTCGTCACCGGGGTGTAACTGGTACGGCCGCTATACGGGTTCTTCCGAAATAAAAGGGACGATATCAAGTTTCGTCTCTGTGGCTGACTGACATTTATCGGGCAGGGGTATCGATAACTCTCTGTGACGGTACGTATACCCTAGGTGATAGTACGATGATGTACCTATTTTTTTATTAATAGATTTTATATATGATGTCTTCCCAACAATACGTTAGGATATTCTTTCACCCCCCCCCCCTTCCCGGTTTTGAAATGGTTGTTACCTGCCGGGGTCATCGGGGCAACATTCGGTGTTGAGCCAAATCCTTGAGCTGCCACATACGATATGTCATCGGAGTAAAGAGTTAGAGTTGGGATATCATTGTTCATGGCTAGGTTTAGATTTACGGTTAGGTTTATAGGTTTTGTCCCCCACATCACGACCAACCCCACCCCACCCCTTGTATATTGGAGCCCCAAATAGTGTCGGAGTCATGTATTTTGCAGGATCATGTATCTGGCTTGACACCCGGACATTGACACACTTTGACTGTTTACAAACTCTTGTGCCCGTGTATTAAAACAGCAGAACAGAGTAAAGAATACAGCATGATGACTTACTTTGTATTTCTAAAAGCCCAACATCAGTCTTCCGATGAGTTTGTCCTTGCTGGGACTAAAGAATGCACTGACGTCACATCTCGCACTGAGGTCATGTAAGGGCATAACCAACCCAATGAAGGTAAACAGAAACCCTATAAGCTCAGTGCAAAAACCGGGACAACATTGGCTACTACAGATGCCATTTCAGATAATGTACTATTCAAACATTTTTCAGGCAAACATTTGAAAGACATATATATTTGTAAAAGAGTTGAACATTCTTAAGCTGTTTCTAGACAATTTGAATGTTTGATAGCCAATACGTGCCCCGGAGAAAAATGAAACTAACGCTTCTATCAAAATAGACAAAACTTTATTGACACCACATACAGCCATGATTTTCACAGAGGTATCTTACAAAATACTTTTCGTATCACATGTCTTCACCTTCAATGGAAGGTTTCTGTTGAACTAAAGCAAGCCGCTCAGGTTGAAACTTACAAAACGTGCTCTCCAGTCTATTTTGTATAAAAAAAATCAAATCAAAGCATATAGCACAGCAATCTGCTGATATATAATTTCTCGCACTATTGTGGAATCATTGATCCACAAGAACGTACTTATGATGATTTGCGAAATTCCAGATAATGTCCTGTTATCTAGATCTGTCATGGCAATCTGACAAGTTAAAGTTTGGAAAAGCCAGCATAACTTACTAGTATTGAAAGCAGTGAAGTACTTCAATCAATCAAAGGAAAGTGTGGCACTGAATAGATACTTTTAAATTTTGGCAACATATGTTTAAACCTTGATGTTGTTAAACTTGTTAATCACAGTGTCACTATCCTGCAGGCTATGATCAGTCTGTCTTCCATGCCAATATGATATATATATACATATATGCTGTAGCTAATTGTGCCACCATGAACTTACAAGAAAGCAACATGTCGATCGACAACATACGTGTAAAATCTGTGACGTTTTGAACGTGTTAGTCAGTGTCACTATCAGCAGCCCGTCTGGTCCTCGTTTTAATAGGGGTACGGCGCTGGCTGGTTCGGGAAGCCTTGTGGTGAAGCGTAGGGAGTGGGTTGAGGGTAGCCTGTGGGCTGAGGGTAGCCTGGGCCGGACGAATACATCGGCGGCGGGACGGTTGGTGCAGCCACGGCAAGACTGACGGTTTGTGGCGCAGCTGCTACAGACCCGCTTTTACTACAGGCGGCGCAGCACAAAACACAGGCCAAAACACCTGCGACCACCACCACCACAAGGACTCCGACAACGATGCCGACGATGGCCCCGATGCTCAGCCCCGACGAGACCGAGTCACCTTAGGAAAACAAGTCGAGTACGATGATAATAGATTCGAGATATGATTTTGAATCCATGTCTAGTCACCGTATAAAGCATAACATATAGAAATAGACTGTCAAAAGAGGCACTCGTGGAAACAGTAAATTAATATCAGAAGACAAAAAAGTATTGAGTTACTGGTGATAATAAACTTATAAAAATTTTGTCTAAAGTGGTAGCTTCAAGGATTCTGTCTTTCGACAGTTTCTAAACGACTTATTTTGTTGTTGCTGTTATTCAGCATATTTCTAAAAATCTGTATTTGTCAACTACTTATAGAGCTTATACTAAAGTAACTACTGGCCAGTTTGTTCTTACTCAGATACAAACACATATGGGGACCATGCAGCCCTTTAGAACTCGGTTCTGCATGGCAACATTACGTAACCCAACATCATAAGGTGTCTGCTACAGCACCAGTTACTATGGTGACAGCCGTCTGGTCCAGGTCATTGACCGTATTTATTTGGAGAAGAAGAAGGGGAAGAAGAAACAGTGCAAAAACAATGTATGTCCCTACCCCAGCTGCCACAGACGATACCGACATCCTCACTGTGGATACAGTCCTCAACTCCCCATCCTGGGTACGGGCAGTCGAACAGGCTGCTCTCGTACCCAGAACACTGAAGGTCGTCCATGTAGATGTCCCCCGAGCCTGTGAGTCGTGTACACAATAACGTGTCTGAGTCGTGCACACAAGAACTTGCCTATATTACATGTATAGTACATACATCATTAACATTTTATTTCAAATATTACTAATAATCATGGGCATTTCACACCATACTTTTACAAGACAGACAGAGAGACATGAAGGGAGAGGATGATGATCTCATACTGAATAATGATTTGGAGACAATAAAGTATGATATTGGATATTGGCACCTTGCCCAAAGTCTGAGGTACATGTAGAACTTAAAATCAGTCGTACCTTGTCCAAAGTACGCGTTACTACGGACTCCCGTTGCTCCTGAGTATCCCAGCATCCTACAGGCAACATCGGCGTCACTGGTGTCAAAATTGTCGTCACAGACAGTCCCCCAGGTGTAACTGCCTGATGGGCGAACCTCCAGGCGGCCTTCGTTCGTAGTTGAACCGTCAACCAAACGAAGTCTGTCATCTGCAGTTTTAGACATAAGAAAGCAAAATTGAGCTTCGAGGATGGAGGAGCATGTTATTTCCGCTCTTGAGATAGACCTGAATTCCTGAAAGCATGGTGTTTGTAGAAATGAATGTAATCTGTGTAACGCTATGTCACGTCACGTAGATTGTATTCTATTCTAAGAGAAGCGCTACATATCGCTAGTTTGCAGCCGAACCGAATTCTAAGGTCTATAAGATAATGATTGTTTTATTGCAAATTCATGCCCGAGGGCTAATTGTAGGTACAGAAGAAACAGGCAACTTCACAAGAACTACTATTAAGAAAAAAAAGGACACGCGTTTTTTTTCTCGAAAATGAAAGGTCTGGTGTTTGGGTCGTTAGTCTTTGAGATCCCAATAAACGCTTTCGTTTCAATGTACCTTTGTTGTCATCGTATAAAGCATAACATATAGAAATAGACAGTCGAAAGAGACACTCATAGTAACAGTAAATTACTACCAGAAGACAAAAAGTATTGAGTTACTGGTAACAAGAAACTTATCAAAATTTTATCTAAAATGATAGCTTGAAGGAGTCGGTCTTTCGGCATTTTGTTGACTTCTTTTAACGACTTATATAAACGACCTACTAGTAATTTGTTGTTATTCGGCAGATTTTTAAATCGCTGTTAACAGAACAGAAAATATCTTTTCGTCTTTTAGCTTACATTGCTCACAGGTTGTTTCACACAAAATGAATGTAGAAATGATCTTACTTACTTGTACAAGTACCGGTGACACTCACAAAACTGTCTGCCTGAAAGTAGATGCCGGTGTACACCTCCCATGTGCCGGACGTGTCGTCAGCGTAATAGCTGGTAGCGCCCGGAAGATACAAGTTCACCAAACTACTTCCCACTGTGTGGCCAACATTCCAGGTTGTATCGGATGTGGCGTAGTACAGGTAGTCTCCACGGGAGCTTTGATACACCGGCCGGCCGTCGTAAGTCTGTCCCGTCATAGTGTAGGTTGTCATCAGGTCGGTCTGGTACAAGATGGCCCCAGAAATACGGACTGTCCGGCAACCTTATGGCACAAACATGAAGAAATATTCGTCTTAGTGGCTAGTAACACTGCCGAAAAACTTCCAACAGCCGTCCGTGTTACAATCCTATGTTTTGCGTGGTTTAGTTAAAGGATAAGGGTTCTGATTGCCACCGTTCAAAGTATGTTCTGAAGTAGTTTTCATGGCAATACGCAGATACGACTACATATCAAAAAGCAGGAAAGCTGACAATTTTCTTGTTTGCGTTTCAGCCTTAATGACCAACATATTCCCACATACCTGATTGGAGCGAGTTTTGGAACAAAATCGCAAACACGAGCAGAAACAGATATCGTGCCATCTTAATGTCAGATGCCTACAACGTAGAGCGTGTGCCTTGGAACATCTGATAGGTACCTGGTACCTGTGGGGGAGAAATCCGATCAATCATCAACCCGTCAACAATAAGTTGTGTTGATCGTTACTACCCAACGGCAACTTGACCTGCTTCAATGTCAACTGACCCTTGACCTCTACCTTCTTGCCTTTCAAGTTACAAGAACGAGAAAATCATCTAAAAACTTGATTTTGGACGACCTCATCTCCGTTGTTGTTTATCAACCGCATTGCATTATGTATATTTTTAACGGTGTTGCTCAGTGCAAAGCCAATTGACCACTTTTGGGCACTGAGCTAGCTGTAAGCAGCTGTGTGACATTGCAAGCAGATGACGATCATTGATTCTTGTTACTATAGAAGCCTGTGGGTTGTAATCGAGACGGGCACATGTGTGTGGGAGAGAGTGTGATATCGATCATTTTCAGTCCGGGTAAAGAAACGACTGCTGTAGAAGCACTAGAACTTTGAAACAGACATTTGAACGGTATAATAATGTGAACTGCAGAAAGAGAAGCTAGTGGCGCACCGAAAAGTTCTCAGTGGTTGGACGCCCGTGAAAGATTCTGTATAAGAGGGAAGCTAAAGGGGGAGAAAAGTTCTCTAATCTGAGATAGGAATTGAGTCCATCTTTGGAAAGCTAAGATCTTTTACAATAGCTATAACACAAGCTAGCTATGACCGAAATTTCATCAGTCGACTACCAGGTCAAGGGCTGTGTTTGTAAGTGTCATGTGTTCGATTGTATGATGCACATTGTCATGTGCCTCATATCACTGAAAAGCTTAAATGTGATCATAACTGTTTTTCTATATATGACAATAAAGGGTGCACAAAGTCCACAGACATTCTAAAACATCAAAACAGATAAATCTTTATTGACAAAACTTAAAGCCATTTCTTTGACAAAGATGTTACAAAACTTTTCTCGTATCACCTGTCTTCCCCTACACCGGATGATTTCATTTCTGTTCAAATAAAGAAAACCACTCTTTGAGTATTTAAGGGGACCAAACCTATTGTCTAGTTCCCCATCTTTTCCAGAAAACATTAAATCATGGCACAACACAACAATCTGCTAATATAACTCTGAACTTCACACAAACTTATGGTATGTAACCAATTAATCCACATTAAACAAACTTTTGATAATTTGCAACATTCTCGATAATGTTCTGTTGTCTGCCTTGGCAATCTGTGTCTAGACAAGAGCTTTGAAAATTCTGGCGTTTTTAGCGTGTTATATACACGGAGGTTTACAAAGGAGCCTCCTTGATGTATGTCAGTATGACACAAATTTTGTGCAACAAAATCGAATGTAACAAGTGTGCTTCTTCTATGAACGAAATACATGTATGTACTTTGATTAAAACTTACAAAATCATGCCACTCTGTCCCACGTTGTACGTGCAAAAGATAGGCGTGGCCTAAATCTGGTCAGAATTCTATCGAACACCAGCTAACCTGTTCGGCTGGTGTTCGGGAACGAATTCGTGGGTAGTTCGTGAATGTGTGACAGGGGATTTATGTGATTAACTTGACATGTACAACTTCGTACCGCATATGCCAACATATGGCCATATGAATGTCAACATCACTGTCCAAACACGCAACATTTTTTACTCACACTCACTGCAAAACATAGTTAAAATTTCACAACAAAATGAGGGATCTGTCCCATAACCCGACAACTGCTTAAAGCACAATACTTAGTGGTTGTGATGGAGGGTAACCTAGGATTGGTTGTGGGGGACAGATGGATCCGGCACGGCAGGACTAGACAGGTGTTACAGGACTGGCCCCGCCGGTTTTCTTACAGACGGAGAGGACGATCAGCACAACCGCAGCCAGGACTCCGAATACGATGCCGATGATGGCCCCGGTGCTAAGCTCCAACGAGCTTGTCCCCAACACGATACCTTACGAAAACAACATGTAGGGTACGATGATAATCCATTTGAAATATGATTTTAAACCCATGTTTGTTTAGTCACCGAGTTTTTTTTTGTCTTTTTTTTAACACTGTATATTCAAATCATGGAGACAAGTACAGGTACGAGTACATATACATACACAGCTACTTTTAACAAATTTTTACAGCCATATCCCCAAAATACACGGATCAATCACAAAGACAGACACTTAAGTGTTAGTCACCGAGTTATAAGCATACCATATGGAAAAAGACTGTCGAAAGACTGTGGAAATAGTAAATTGGTGTCAGATGACAAAACGTAGTGAGTTGTTGGTGGGTGCATAAACTCATCAACGGTGGCGCAACGGTTAGAGCGTTGGACTCGGAACCAATAGGTCCCGGGTTCGATACTCGCCCGACGTTGTGCCAATTGGAAAGGCACTTTATACTACTTCCCACCTGTACGGTGGCGCCCACCGAGCCTCTTATGCTAATCTGTCTAAAACAAACTGCGGATTTGCAATTGGTGCGCTAATGTGTCAATATCAGCACCGAGAGCCGTTAAATTTTTTTTTTATTCGGCTGATCTAAAACTCGCATATCCCCTGCGCTATGAATATCTTAGGCAGTCTAACATAGTGGACTTCCATGCGTTAACGGTGCTCACAAATTGCAACAAAATTCACGTAGAAAGTTTTGTACTTACCTGTAGATGTATAGCAAGAGACACTCACACGACTGTCTGCCTGAAAGCTGTTGACGTCAGTGGTCAGATACCAAATGCCGGACGTGTCGTCAGCGTAATAGCTGGTGTCGCCCCGAAGATACATCCCCACCGAAGCACTCCCCACGGTGGGGCCAACATTCCAGGTTGTATCAGATGAGTCGTAGTACAGGTAGTCTCCACGGGAGCTCTGATACACCGGCCGGCCGTCGTGAGTCCGACCCGTCATGGTGTAGGTTGTCATCCGGCTGGTCTGGTACCTGGTGGCCCCAGAAATACGGACTGTCTGGCAACCTAATGGTACAAATTAAAAACATGACGTAGTAATCGTCAACACATTCGTCTTAGTGGCTAGTAACACTACAGAAAAACTCCCAAGATCTCACACTTTCCGTGTTGAAATCCTAATATGATATGGTATGTTTTGTGTGGTTTAGGACTTGAAGGATAACGTTTCTTAATGCCACCGTTCACAGAATGTTCTGAAGTAGTTTTCATACAGATACGACTACATCAAAAAGCATCAAAGCTGACAATTTTCTTGTTTTCGTTTCGGTTTTAAATGACCAACATATTCCACATACCTGATTGAAGCGAGTTTTGGAACAAAGTCACAAACACGAGCAGACAAAGATACCGTGCCATCTTAACGTCAGATGCCAACAGCATAGACCGAGTGCCTTTCCCTTTATGAAACTCCAAAAGGTACCTGGTGCTATGAAAAAAGCAGCATTTTTGTCTGCGTGGGCGAGAAATCTGATCAACCTAGCCACAATAAGTCGTTGGTCGTTACTACCCAACGGCAAGTCAATCACAGATGACCATTGACTTCTACCTTCTTGTCTTTCAAGTTGCAAAAACGAAAGGTTATCTAAAAACAATTTCGGACGACCATATCTCCGTTGTTGTTTATCAATCACATTGCACTATATATAATTATGTATATTTCTAACGGTGCAGCTCAGTGCAAAGCCAATTGACCACATCTAGGCACTGTTCTAGCTGTACGTAGATAGGTGGAACATTTGTCTGACAATGACAATGCCAATAGATGGGGGTGGATGCTTGTTATTATGGAAACGTGTGGATTGTAATCGAGACGGAAGCGTGGGATCAAGTTCTCAGTAGTTGGACGAGTTGAGAGATTTCTTTTCAATAGCGCCCGTGAAAGATTCTGTAGAAGTGGGACAGGGAGGAAGTTCAACTCTGAAAAGCTTATCATTTACAATGGTGTAACACAAGCTGTGATCGTACATTTATTGGAGTACCATGCCAAGGACTGCTTTTGTGTTTCGAAGATAAGGCCGAAATTTCCATGTGTCCGTTTTTATGATGAAAATTGTCAATGAGCTTGGTGTAATTGGGAAGCTTAGATATAATCATGATTGATCTGCTATATATATGACAATGAGGTTTACAGACATTCTAAAACTCGAACCTGAAATTATTTTGCTACCATGAGCTAAGTGCGCTAAGGAACGTGCTTTGCGAGCAAACATACACAAAATAAACACCAGAAATTCTGTTGCAAAATACTCTTTTATTTGCATAAAGATATCTTCAAACAATTGGCACACAATGATTTACAAAGGACTAGTCGTGCTTTTACAGAAGACTGTACAATTTGGCAAAAGACATAGTTGCTTTTCATAAAACTTATGTTATCAATTCTGTACGTCACGGTATCAACATTCTGACATAACGTTGCTGATAAATATAACCATATACATGTATGACATGTACCTTAGGACACAAGTACGTGATATACGTACATCGCATTAAAATGTTAAAGCAGTGCGTTTCTGAATAAAGTTGTTGGGCTACGCCTTTCAAAATGTGTATGCCGATATGTAACGGTTACAAGAAATGAACCAAATTTCAATCTGGCCCTAGAATACGAGCTACTGCATGCCGTATCTAAACGGTTCGGGGGGAGGGGCATACGCCGGATCTTGGGATGAGTACGAATACGGTGCGGGTCCGCTGGAGGGGTAAGGTGTGGTGCCGCTGGGAGGCTGTCTAGGCATGTTCAGAGCAGTGTTGTAGGCAGGAGGGGGAGGGTACTGTTGTGGCGGGGGGTACGGCTGGTGCTGGGGGTTATAAGGCGGGTTTTGTGACACCACGGTAGGGCGGTGGTACGTCGTGGTGGTCACCCTCGCTGTAGGTGGGTTGGGGTTGACTCGGTTGGCAGGCGTGGGGCTTGAGCTGGTCTTCTTGCAGTGGTGGACGATCACCGCCAACAGACCGACACCGACCAGCACACCGATGACGATTCCAGCGATGGCACCGCCACTCAGTTCTACATGTATACCTGTGGAATGTGGTTATTAAGATTACCAATTTTACATTTTATGTGCTGTACGTTTCTTGCCACACGACAGGAACAACAGAAGACGAAAAAAGACAAAATGATTCCCATTTGTCCCATCATCTGATCACTGAAACGTGAAGCAGTGCTTGTATGCTGTCAATCGGACTATCATATTGAACGTAGAATACATATGTGTCTTCTATCTACCAGTCGTCTATCATAATCTCGACTTTAAAATGATTTGCAAACCTAATTTATGAACAAACATGTCCCTACCGGTGCTGGCACAGACGATACCGACATCCTCACTGTGACCACAGTTCTCAACTCCCCAACCTGCGTACGAGCAGTCGAACAGGCTGCTCTCGTACCCAGAGCACTGAAGGTCGTCCATGTAGATGTCCCCCGAGCCTATGAGTCGTGCACACAATAACATGCCTACATTACATGCAAGAAATCATCATTAACATTTCAGATATATTCAGATATTACTAATTGTGGACATTTTACACAATATTTTTAAAAGACAGACAGAGAGACATGAAGGGAGAGAATGATGATCTAGTGAATAATGATTTGGAGACAATGTATGATATTGGAAATAGGCACCTTACCCAAAGTCTGAGGTAGGAGTCAAAAGCAGCCGTACCTTGTCCGAAGTACGCGGAACTACGGACTTCCGTGGCTTCAGAGTATCCCAGCATCCTACAGGCAACATTGGCGTCATTGATCTCAAACTGGTCGTCACAAACTGTCCCCCAGCTGTAACTGCCCAATGGTCGAACCTCCAGGCGGCCTTCATGTGCACCTGAGCCGCCAACCAAACGAAGTCTGGGGTCTATAAGAAAAAAAGGGGCACACATGTTGACACAGTGTTTGATGTTTAGGCTGGTAGTTTTTGGGATCCGACAAAGCGTTCTCTTTTCAATATACCTGTGTTTTGTTGTTTGAATTGTAGTGCATGCTTTGACTAGCCCATGTTGAAGACAAAGCTCACTCAACAAGTTGTGAATGAACAGAGAATGTCGCACGGTCAACATAGAATCGATATCAATCTATATTGGAAATGTGATATCCTGTGATTGTCATCCTAAATATCAGAGAGTGTTCACACTAGAGCTATTCTTACCTTCACCACTTCCACAGACGACACCGACATCCTCACTGTGACCACAGTTCTCAACTCCCCAACCTGCGTACGAGCAGTCGAACAGGCTGCTCTCGTACCCAGAACACTGAAGATCGTCCATGTAGATGTTCCCCGACCCTTTAAGTGTTGTAGAGAAAGTACATTGTGACGGTATTTCAAGACATGTGTTTCCAGTTCGCCAGTAGCCCGATTTTACTGCAGTATTGCTATGACGAGTACGTCAGCCATGAACAAGCAACTCGAAAAGGGCAGTGTACTCAACTTGCCTTCTATGTAAACATCTCTATCCATCGTATCGTTTATTATGTGAGGTAACGCCGATGAGTTGATTGCAAGGATAGAAAAGTGAATGGTTATATAGTGACGGTGAGCTGGGCAGCATATGATACTCTCCAAGCAGAGGTTTATGGTGGAAGATCGTTTGCTTTTTATATGGTCTGTTTTTTTTTTGTCTCTACCACCATCAACAGACAAAAAAACAGACCATATATAAAAAGCAAACGATCTTCCACCATAAACCTCTGCTTGGAGAGTAAGCATATGATACAAAGCCTGGTGACATGAAAATGCGACGGCATCGTGTTCTTTACCACTATATATCGCATACGGATAACGTTAAACATACCTTGCCCGAAGTGTGCGGACCCAAAGAATTCAACAGCACGAGAGTATCCCATCGATCTGCAGGCGACATTGGCGTCGTTCGTGTCAAACTGGTCGTCACAAACCGTCCCCCAGTCGAAACTGTCCACAGGTCGGACCTCCAGGCGGCCTTCATCTGAAGTTGAGCCACCAACTAACCGAAATCTGCTGGCTGTACGGTGGACAGAGAGAGAGAGAGAGAGAGAGAGAGAGAGAGAGAGAGAGAGAGAGAGAGAGAGAGAATTGTGTTAATTGATTGGATGACATCATTCTGTATTTTCAGCTTTTAAACACACTCGTAATGTCACACTTTTGGGCACCTTCACTTCCTGAAAGGCACTTATTTGCAATATGGCGAAGGATGGACTTTCTAAGGAAATTACCAAAAAGTTGACTTCTTGTATCGTCCTAATGTCATATAATGCAGCTACATACCGCAGTGTTCGTCACTTTGGTCGCCACAGTTATAGACGCCGTCACACTCCAGAGCCGAGGAGATGCAGTACCCGTCATTACAGAGGAATCCGCTGCAACTCGATGGCGTTGTACCTGTGGTGGTGAAGAAACTGGTCTAAATACATGGAAATCATCAAATACATCAAAATACCATTTATTTACATATGAAGACTAGTAGTGCCGGTTCAACTTGGAGTGGTGCAGGAATTTTTTAATTCTACATGCACATAACATGCACAAGTCCAGGTACATGAACATTTGCAGGGTTTTGTATACTGTTGAATTGATTTTTTTTAACTATCACATTGACACCATTGACACTATCACATTGACACCAGCATTTGGATTAGTACATCACTTGTCTTCGTTTGATATATGTTGTCAACAGATGCATTCTTCATGTTACATGATAATCTTACGTAAATCCTCATAACTTACGTGGCAGTTGACAAACAACACCGACGTCTTCACCATGTCCACAGTTATGCACTCCCCACCCTGAGTAAGGGCAGTCACGCAATTTGCTCTCGGTCCCAGTGCAAGCAACGTCATCCATGTAAATGTTGCCCGAACCTGAAATAAAGCAGCACGTGGTTAACGTAAATAGAACGACTATTTCATGACCTTGGCGCCACAACACCCGAGATGAAACTCTATTTAGCCCGCCCTGAATCTTGTAGTATAGGTATTAAATGGAAGAAATATTAGGTTAGTACAATGATGCTGATTCACATGTGTACTCTACTAAAAAATTAGCCTGGTATCCAGTCTATTGTGGTTTGGCAGGTTGTCATAGTTTTCCTGGCCCAGTACAACGGACCGTCCGGTAGAAGTGTTACGCCTGTGATTAGCCCCAGCACAATATATATCGCGGTGGGTCTGATTAACTCCCGTCGTAAACCTAGCTGAGGCGGGCGGGGAAGAGCTTAAGCAGCCCCGAAGAAAATCCTTCCCAACCGCGACAAGGTTACAGTACCATGAATGTATGTAGAGAATTTACCTTGACCGAAATGTGCGGAAGAACGGACGTCTGAAGCGCCGGAGTAGCCGAGTGATCTGCAGACCACGCCTGCATCGGTCATGTCAAAACCGTCGTCACAGACTGTGCCCCAGTCGCCGCCATACGTCAGCCTCACCTCCACACGCCCTTCGTTGGTGGTTGAACCGTCGACGAGTCGAACATGGTCTGTACAAAAGCAGGGGATCTGTTTGAATGTCCGCAACATGTAAGACAGAAAAGAAACACAGAAAAGACGACTTGCCCCATGTTATCTTAAATCATGTGAAACCTAATACAAAGATTAACTTGTGTTTTGAACTGCCTTACTGCTTCCTAGCCTGGGTACCCTCCGGATTTTCGCTACGCAACGCTCGAAAAATCACGTCTGGGACTAGCCTGGGTACCATCCGGATTTTCGCTACGCAACGCTCGAAAAAAATTTTCGAGCGTTGCGTGGCGCAAATCCAGATGGTACCCAGGCTAACTGCTTCCTGTCGTTGTCGCTTTACAGGAGAGGTCTTTTATATACATTCACATACCACATGCATTTCTGGCCAAGAATTCCTGATATCTTTCTTACACCTACCTTCCTCTTAACTACATGACAGGACAAATAAGTGGATAAAAATGACAAGTTGACTATCCGCATACCCTAACCCGCCTACTAGCCCGCTCGAAAACCTCTGTCAATATACATAAACGCAACACTGTCAAAATAGCGGACAAACACAGCTAGCTGATACATGTATACATCTGATAAAAAGTAATTTTGAATTACAAATTTACCTGACGTCGTAGGGGTGAACTCCGTACGTGTGTACAACAACTGAAACGCTCCACCTACACTCGAATCCGAGACCAGCCGTAAGGTGATGATGTCGCCGGTGGAGTAGAATGTGCCGGGGATGTTGTTGTTGTTCACGAAATCGCTTGAAGGGGAAGATGGTGTGCTGTAGTACGCTCCATTGTAGATAAAAAGGTGGTCGGAGTTCTCGATATTAACTTGAGGGAACTGCATCGTAAGATTAAAAGCAAAAACATAAGTGATTCAGTATTAGGATTTCAAATTCCTAAATCTTATGGGTTACTTTAATATCAAAACTTCACAGTACCTCAAACGAGAAGATGAAAAAACCATACTGTATGAATTCCACCTATTTAACAACACGTGTAATATCCTTTGCAGAAGTTTGTTATCAGACTTGATTTTTCAAATGACATGCGAGTTGACATTCATTGAAGTAACTACTCGGGCATTACCTGCAGAGATATGACGCCACCAGGGTTGGAATTTTGGAAGACCACCGTGCAGTCTTCGTTGTTGCCATAGTTTCCAGACGAGCTCCATGAGATGTAGCCGGAGTCAGACAGGTAGATGGACGACCCACATCTGCCTGACATGTACACTGTGGAACACAATAACATCGATATCCATGACATGTTGAGAAAAAGGTTAGATGAATAAGGTATAGCCTACAAATAGCCAGGAGATTTCAGCCGGAATCAGACAGAAGAAAGAACGACTCATGGTCGCCGGACGTCACAGACACTATATAACCAACCCAGCACAAACGACATGTGTGATGGAAGTGAAATCACATCTCAATATAACGTTTACTTTATAAACAGCCATTATTCAAGACGGTCTTCTCATCCAAGAAGCGTATACTAGACGTGGATATTAATGTTGACCTCATTTGTAGCAAAGAGTGGGGGAGGGGAGCAGACACTCCGCCTTCGTTGACTATGTTTTTTCTGTAAGGCCATGTTGATTTGATTATATGGATGACATCCTCCGGGAGCCCCAAAACTGATGCGCGCGTGCGAATAAAAGAAAAGTTTTGCAAAAAAAAAGTTGTTTTCAGTATGAAATCTACGTGGTCATAAGGGTTGAACAAATGGGACAGAATATGGTTTGGCGAATAATCTAATCATCAAGTTCATTTCCTTACAATTTCGTCTATTTCGTTTGATTTTGGAATTCTACGACATTGGTATAGTTTTTACTTATTTTTTTTGTAACTTACGGTATATTTTTGCTCATTTTGCAACTGTTTTGTACGATTTACAGTATGGTTGAAAACTTTTTTTTTGGAAACGGAGTGAGTTATACATGTAGTCAACTGTCATTATACTCACATGTGTATGAGAATTAACACTAATCTCAAACGACGAGTCCTCGTATTTAAAAATGCTTATAATTTTCAAGTTCAAAATTGTCAAAATCCTTTGATATGGAATTTACCCACCTTAGTCTAAAAAGATGATGTCCAACATAGTTTTAGTTTGTTTGGATACAGATAAGGACCAGAACCTGAACAATTTTAGGTACAAGTAAAGATCACTATACATGTATATAGTTGCACTTACGTCTAGATCTGTTCTGCTTTAAATCATTGTATTAACGAGTACTTTTGCCATATACCGGAAGAACGTTAATAGATGGAACTAGAAAACTCGATATACATGTATGTAGCAACTAACCTGTCGATTTTCTAACCTCTAACTTGCCAGTACGATTCTGACCAACCGATGACATCTCTGGTTGAGTCACGGACAGGAATGTTACCAGGAGCCCTCCCCACCAAAATAAATGAAATTTCGATATAAGTATACACACCCATTCCTTATTACCGAGACGTACACAAGCTATGACAGAATTTTTCCGACATCCCAGTTCACCGCAAAGTGGCTAATTTGAGGAAAACAGATCTTGATTTTAGGATAAAGATGTTTCAGAAAGCAGTACACTGTATGTGCCGTCACGGTCCATCCGTGAGGCTGTTGTCAGAACAAAGATGGCGGCTACTCACCTGTCTGATAGTCGTACCCAAGCACACCTGTCCCACACAGGAGTAACGGCACCAGGAGCGGGGCCCACATGGCGAAGTGTACCTTAACTCTCCTCCTCGGGACTTAAAAGTATTAGATTATGTGACAACGCCGTCTTAAACGTCCAAATCTCACATCTTGAGGCGTCATTGTGGACACGACTGTTCTACAGGTCATAAAAAAAGGAGCCGGTATCGGGTGTCTTCTCCTTGACAAACGAGACAAAGGGGCAGGGGTATCGATGTCTACACCCCCACGGTGAAATGGTTGGCCCCTGTCACACATCACCATGCCAACAGCGCGCAACACCGACGCACCTTTCGTTCCTTGTGACGTCTTGTCACTCTCTACAGAGGATATGTTTACATACTAGTACGGTGAGGTCACTTAAGCTGTGGGTCGTCACACGATTTTGACGACGTAGGACCAACCACCGACAATGCTACGACTGCCTATTTGCGTAACAAGACAGCTGAACTTGCAGGGCGCCTTTAGGCATGACAGGCGAACTTGATATATATTCTTTTAATTATACAAGTCTCGAACAGAGAATGACTCAGCACTGATTATGAGTTGTTGTTTTTTTGCGTTCTACTGCACCCGTTGTTTACCTCGGCAGTCAATATCAACATTGTATAGATAGAACTTTATTGCACAATTGCACATGGTACAATGCATGGCAAACTACATAAGGAAACAAACAATAAAATAAATGTGTTGAATAAGACCTAATGTCGAATAGAACCTAACATATCTTAATTACTCAAACAATAAGGGCTAGCACACGTCTTTAATAAAGTGTTTACAATCGAGTGGGCTAATCACAGTTTTCGGTATTTTTTTCTAATAACAATGTTTGATAGTCTATACGTGTCCTGTAGAAAAATGAATAACTGCAAAAATAACGCTTTTGTCGAAACAGACAAAAATTTATTGACACCACATACAGCCATAATTTTCACAAAGGTAACTTACAAAATACTTTTCGTATCACATGTCTTCACCTTCAACGGAAGGTTTCTGTTGAAATAAAGCAAGCAGCTCAAGTCGAAAATGTACAAAATGTGCTGTCTAGTTCTCTATTCTGTCTAAAAGCATGAACTTCACGCACCTTTATGGAATGTAGCCATTTGATCCACACGCAAGTAGTTATGATAATTTGCGAAATTTTATGTCCTGTTATCTGCCCTGGCAATCTGATAAACTTTAGCTAAAATGGCAGCATGAACCCATGAACTTACTTGTATGGAAGAAACTAACATTTCAAGCAAAGGAAAGTGTGCCGCTGAACAGATTTCAGCTTTTGACTGCTTGAAAACTGTCATGTTGTTGAACTTTGTTGATCATCAGTGTCATTATTTTTGTTGATGCGAACCAAACCGACGATCAACACTGTGTCTGATGGACCACGGCTGCCCTGAGAAGTGTCGCCAGGGGGTGGAGGGTGGCCTGTGGGTGGAGGGTAGCCTGGGCCTGAATACATCGGTGGTGGGTCGGATGGTGCAGGTACAGCATGACTGACGTTTTGTGGTGCAGATGCTACAGCCCCGCCTTTCTTACAGGCGGCGCAGCACAAAACACAGCACAGAACACCTACGACCACCACCACCAACGCAAAGACTCCGACAACGATACCGACGATGGCCCCGGTGCTCAGCCCCGACGTGTCAACTTAGGAAAACAAGAAATCGGGTACGATGATAATCGATTCGAGATATTTTGAATATCCATGTTGAGTCAAGGTATACAGCGTAGCATATACGATATAGAAATAGCTACAGATGGTCGAAAGAGGAACGCATGGTATCACAGGACAAAAAAAGTATTGAGTTACTGGGTACAATAAACTAATTTTTTTTCCAAATTGGTAGCTTCAAACATTAAGATTCTGTCTTGCTGCAGTTTCTAAAATGATTTTGTTGTTGTTGTTGTTGCTATTCGGCAGATTTGTAAAACTCTCATTTGTCAACGCTGTTAACAGAACAGAGCACATCTTCGTGTTGTTTAGCTTACATTGCTCACAAGAGGTTTCACAGTAAATTAATGTAGAAATGATCTTACTTACCTGTACCTGTCGAACAAGTACCCGTGACACTCACACCACTGTCTGCCTGAAAGCCACTGCCAGCGGAAAGATACCATGTGCCGGACGTGTCGTCAGCGTAGTAGCTGGTGTCGCCCCGAAGATACATCCCCACCGTAGTACTCCCCACGGTGCTGCCAACATTCCAGGTTGAATCGGATGTGGCGTAGTACAGGTAGTCTCCACGGGAGCTCTGATACACCGGCCGGCCGTCGTGATTCTGTCCCGTCATGGTGTAGGTTGTCATCCGGCTGGTCTGGTGCGTTGTGGACCCAGAAATACGGACTGTCTGGCAACCTAAAATAATGGCAAAACATGGCGTAGTAATGGTCAACACACTCGTCTTACTGACGGCTAGTAACACAACCGAAAACACTCGAAAAACACAACAGTTTTCTTGTTAGGGGTTCAGTCTTAATAACCAACACATTCCACATACCTGATTGGAGCGAGTTGTGGAACAAAGTCGCAAACACGAGCAGAATCAGATACCGTGCCATCTTAACGTCAGGTGTCTACAACGTAGAGCGTGTGCTTATGCCTTCTTGAAACTCCGAAAGGTACCTTCTGTTACATAATGAACTGTCTCTGTGGGGCCCGGGAGAAATCCAATCAACCATAGGCTTTGTGTCGTTACTAACCAACGGCAAGTTGACCTGCGTCGGTGTCAACTGACCCTTGACTTCTACCTTCTTGCCTTTCAAGTTGCAAGAGCGAGAAATTTGTCTAAAAACTTAATTTCGGTCGACCTCACCTCCATTGTTGTTTATCAATCACATTGCATTATGTATATCCGTAGCTGTGTTGCTCATTGCAAAGCCAATTGACCACTTCTAGGCACTGAACTAGCTATAGGTAGGTGCGACCAAGGACATGTCCTTGGTGTGACAGTTGTGTGACTATGCCAGAAGATGGCGGTGACGTGTACAGTGTGTGTGGATTGTAATCGAGACGGAAGCGTGGGAGGGCGTTAATTCGATCACGTTCTCAGTTGTTGGACGAGTTGAGAGATTTCTTTTTGAATAGCGCCCATGAAAGATTCTGTAGAAGTGGGACAGGGAGGAAGTCCAACTCTGAAAAGTTTGGTATAACCATCTTTTAACTCCATGGTATAACACAAGCTATGATCGTACATTTATTGGAGTACCAGGCCTGGGACTGCTTTTTTGTGTTTCAAAAATAGGGCCGAAATTCCCATCGATCATATGCAATAAAGTTCATTGTCATTACATATATATAATTGTGTTGATGAAACACATTCAAGACCAAGATTGCAAAAATAGCACTTTATTTCAAATTAATCACAATTACTCACTTCTTCAAATTAATCTGGTGTTCAACAGGAAAGAAGGCTTTGCCAAGCACGCAAAAAGCATTAAGTTGCTCACAAATACACAATCATATAAAAATTGGCCTAATAACCATATGCAACAGAACAGTTCAGAACAGAAAAGTAAATCCCTTTTACTTCTTCTTTGACGATAAGTCTACTGGGGATAATTGTAAAGAACTCTCAGTTCAGTATGTACCTATGACGATGATGTTACGTACATCAGCGCTCGTATAGTTTTCTACAATAGTTGAATCAGCATTTGAACCAAATATCATTTCACATTTATACAGTATTTACAAACGTCGTATAAGGTACACTTGAAAACAACCGTTCAACAAATTAAGCGAGCATTGACCAATGATGAATCAGGTTCATTAACTGTATGTACAGGAACAAAGAGATTTAATAGGCGGGTGGCAGTTGAGGTGCGTTGGCTAGAGGGGGTAGGTAATGTGGCGGAGGGGGGACGGATGAAAAATCCGGGGGTGGGTACAGGACGGCGGGAGACGGGTGTAGTTGGGCTCCTTGTGGAGGTTGAGGGGCATACGCCGGGTCCTGGTTGGGGGAGGGGGCAGGGTAAGGTGTGGTGCCGCCCGGGGACTGTGCAGGCATGGCCAGGGCAGCGCTGTAGGCCGGAGGGGGAGGGAACTGTTGTGGGGGTGGGGGAGGCTGGTTCACTGAAGGTATCGGGGGCAGGGGAGCCTGCGTCATCGTGGTGGGCTGGGGCGGGGCCGTATTAGGCCTCTGCACCACGGTGTTGTTCGTCAACACCCTATTCGGAGCGACCCGGCTGGACGGAGAAGAGTTTGAGCTGCTCTTGTTGCAGTTGTGGACGATGAGTGTTAAGAGGACGATGCCTGTCAGCACGCCAATGACGATCCCAGCAATCTCTCCGCCGCTGAGCCCTGAGAACAACATCATCAGTACTGTTACCATCATCAGACAACGGAACTTTTCTCCAACTCAAGAAATTGGACTTAGGCCATGTTGATTTGATTATATGGATGACATCCGCGCGCGCATGAATTTTCGGCCGTTTCCAAAAAAAAAAAAGTTTTTCAACCATACTGTAAATCGTGCAAAACAGTTGCTAAATGAGCAACAAATATACCATAAGTTGCAAGGAAAACATTTAGAAACGATAACAATGCCGTAGATTGCCAAAATCAATGGAAAAAAGACAAAAATGTAAAGAAATTAATTCGAAGAGTAGATTATTCACCATAACATATTCTGTGCCATTTGTTCAACCTTCATGACCACGTAACGTTAGATTTCATATTGAAAGCAACTTTTTTTTTTTGCAAAACTTTTTTTTATTCGCACGCGCGCATCAGTTTTGGGGTTCCCAGAGGATGTCATCCATATAATCAAATCAACATGGCCTTACAGGAATTTTCCAGCTGAATCGCTCACTAGTAGTCCTCTTCAGCTATCTGATCCAGCGTCCAGGCAAAATTTTTCTAACAATACAAAGCGACATTCGATGACGACAATGAATGTTGTAATGGTAGTGTATAGTAACTTTTTAGAACGGAAATATCATCTTACCCGCGGCCGCGATGGCACAGACGATACCGACGTCCTCGCGGTGACGACAGTTGTGAACTCCCCATCCTGCGTACGGGCAGTCGAACAGGCTGCTCTCGTCCCCAGAACACTGAACGTCGTCCATGTAGATGTCCCCCGAGCCTATAGCATAGTATCATGTCAGATCACGTTTTAATGAACGTTAATCTCTATTTTGTACCAGAATATATTCTCCATGCATGCCATATCACTTTGCATTCCTGAAAGAGTAATCAATCTTGAGAGGAGGAGTCAAAAGCAGCCGTACCTTGTCCGAAGTGTGCGGAATCACGGACTTCTGATGCTTCAGAGTATCCCAGCATCCTGCAGGCTACATGGGCGTCATTGATCTCAAACTGGTCGTCACAAACCGTACCCCAGGTGTAACTGCCCTCAAGTCGAACCTCCAGGCGGCCTTCGTTTGGACCTGAACCGCCGACTAGACGAAGTCTGTCCGCTGCAGTGAGAAAGCAAAATTGAACTTCGAGGATATGGAGATTTCACTTTCGGTCTTGACATTGACATGAAAACATGGTGTTTTTTTTAGAAATGAATGTAAACACAGGGATTTTGTTATTCTATGAGAAGCAGCACATACCGCAGTTCTCGTCGCCTCCATCAGGACAGTTCAGGATGGTATCGCACTGCAGCGCGGAGGAGATGCAGTAACCGTTGCTGCAGTGAAAATAGTCCGCGCTGCAGGGTGAGGTGGGTAACGCTGTGAAGTGATAAAAGGACGTTTGTGAGTAAAACTGTAGCAATCGATATCCCCTAGACATCCTCAGTCATTAACATTACCTAGTAGATTGCGATTTGCTGCTGTTTGCATTTACTGCTGATATGGTAAACGTTTGCAATCTAAGTATTTCATGAACAACGACCCAAACAAACAAACAAACTGAATAACTAGATTGAACTTTTAATCTTAATATCAAAGACCTGAGTCAAAATTTACACTTACTTGAAGTGTAACAAACGACACCGATGTCTTCACTATGGCGACAGTTATGCACTCCCCACCCTGAGTACCGGCAATCAAACAAGCTGTTCTCGGTCCCAGAGCATCTAAGGTCATCCATGTAGATGTTGCCTGAACCTGTATATATAAAAAAACAAATACTTTTGTAACAATATATGTAAGCCATACTACGAATGCATTATATCAATTGTGCATCGAGGGAAAACGCTCTACGAAATGTGGACTTCATCAAACATCATGTTTAAAAAAAAGGTCATCTGGATAGCAAATGTTAACAGTAAAACACGCCACGCCACCCCCTCTAGTGGTTTTCGTCCATTATATGGATTAAGACAGAATTGCGTGATGAGTTTTAATTACATTCAACAAGCTTTAAGTCACGATGATTTAACGCCAATCTTTAGTGTGGCGTACATATCACCAATACACAATAATAGATGCGAGTTTCAAACAACCATGTATAGCTCAACAAGCACCAGGAAGACGTCATTTAATACCTTGACCGAATTCCGTGGTAGTGCGAACGGCGCCGGAGTATCCAAGTGTCCTGCAGACCACGTAAGCCTCGTCTGTGTCAAAATTGTCGTCACAGACCGTGCCCCAGTCGCTGCTCCCGGACAACCTGACCTCCACAAGGCCTTCGTGAGGACCTGTTCCGCCCACGAGACGGATTCTATCGGCGTCGCCTGTACAAAAGGAAAGTATTCTACATGTCTCACAACTTCTTGTCAGACAAAAATAATGATAACTTTGACACCAAGAACTAAAATAGTGGGTGGTGATTGATGTTTCTATCAGACTTGGCTAGAGACAATGTCGTCTTTAATTTTTTTTCCTTTTTTGTGCTGCGTCAAAACGGTTGAGCGAATTATAAACGGATGAAGAGAAAACGTGAGAGTTATTGAAAATATTAGAATGTACAAATGTACCTGTTCTTAAGTACTGTGTGTACAACAACCTAAACGTTCCACCCACAGACCCATCGGATGTCAGCCGCAAGGTTATGTAGTTGGTGGTGGAGATGAACTCGCTGGGAATGTTGTTGTTGCAGATGTCTTCATTTGCAGTGACGAATGACGTGGTGTAATACTCTCCATCGTAGATGTACAGGTGGTCAATACAACTCTCGATGTCGACTTGTAGAAACTGCATTGTAAGATTTTTAAATCAACAACAACAATCATGAGTGTTTTAAAATCAACGCTTCATGTTTCATGAAACTATATAGCTACTTTTTGGCAGTAGAAAGTTACTAGAAACGATGGGCTATCAATTTATTTTCATGGACTTTTACACTCTTCATACTTTTCCAATCAAAACAAACCTATTGATCTACAGAGTACTGTGCTAGAGTGCTAGGTATACCATGACATTACCTGCAGAGAGATGACGGTATTGGGGTTGTCAGTAAAGAAGACCACCGTGCAGTCTTCGTTGTTCCCATAGTCCCCAGAATAGCTCCATGAGATGAAGCCGGAGTCCGACAGGGATATAGACGACCCACAATTGCCTGACATGTAATCTGTGAACCAAAACGGCACACGTGGCTTATTCGGTAAATAATTTATGATTGACCCTCACCCTACAAATGGCCATCATTGAAGACGACCCTCAACGTACTCTGGGCTTCTACCTCATACAAGCAAATTTACATTGGGTTAACGGGGGGGGGGTCCATCAATATCAAGGCAGAGAGAATGTACACTGTTTTTGTCGTTTCTGGTCTTCTTAACTGCTCAGTTTCGTCTATACAGCGAACAGATTAACCGACTAAACATTGACTCAGTGTCGATCTATACACAAAGTGCCTATCAGCTGAGCATAGATAAAGAACGTTGTAATATTCACATTGTGTTGAAAATCATGTCTAGATGCAACCAATATCCAGTGTCAGCCGGGAACAAAGATGGCGACTACTCACCTGTCTGATAGTTGTATCCGATCACACCTGTCGCACACAGGAGTGGCAGCATCAGTAGTAGAGTCCACATGACGACAAACGTTCGTTAAAACGCTGTTGTTCACATCATGGGGGTGACAAAATAAAACAACTTTAAAACTCTGACCCACTTATTGTACGATCAACGGAGAGTAACGGATGAGTAGTAGTAGGAATGTCCTATTCAACAGCGGTGTGGGTGTGGTGGGCACTAATAGATTTTAGTAGAGAGGGCTTAGTGTTAGATCTTTGTTCCGTGGAGTGTAAAAAAAATAAACTTAAAAAACCTTTTGATGCCCTCTTAAGGTCCAAAATTTTAAGAAGAAAATATGTTATGTTGAATTTCTGCAACCCCCCTTGGGAGAAATGGTTGCCCCCACCACTTAACACCATGCCAACCGTAAGGGACATGTCACAACTGAGTACCTGTTGACAGACTGTACCCCATGCGGATTATTGTAAGGCGTGTCGTCTTATTTACCGTGTCAACAGTCTTTCCGACGGATGGATACCAAGCAAAACACAGCCATTATGTCGAGAGTATGTCACATGCTTTTGTGGTTGCAAAGCTTTTTTTAGCAAGCGAGTTGGTGTGCTTTACCTACTAGTATTTGCGCCTTTGTGCCTTACTGTAATCGAGTGAGTGAATAAGTAATATATCGTTTGTTGAGGTAATAGATATACCTGATTATTCCTTTTAAATAAACAAATGTTCACACGCGTGACGTCATGGAAAGAAATTATGCACACGTGACCCATAGTTCTATAGACACGAATGCCGTGATTTTTAACCCATCTCCAAGCAGACGTGTGAGGGAAAATCGGAACGGTTTGTGACGGACCTTTAAGGATTGGTTAAAATATGGAACAGTCAGAAAAGTTATCATCCTACCTTCAACCACTGCTTGGAGATAAGTGACATGCCTTTATTATGCGAGAAAGTTTTGTCTCCCTTTAAAATTGAGCTTCTGGGTGCAAGTTGACTGAGTGGTTAATATAAAACAGTTGTTCCTGTTTGTAGATTTTAGTAAATATAAGTAAGCATCTATCTCTCAAAGACTTTTATTCCAGCGATCTCAGGCACACAGTGTTTTGACACTATCAAACCGAATATATATACACACACATTTAGCTTTGTGTACAAAACTAGAGTTTTTACGTGTGGCGTTACTATACAGTTTGCAGCATAGCCTGAATGCCACCATCCTTAATAGTTTACCCAGGCTATGTTAGGCACACTCCTTTGGAGAATCATTTGGTATGTACAAGGCATTACAGTGAATGGCGCTGAGTGCTTAGTTTCACATGGTTATTATCTAAGCAGACTATCTTCAAGTTATGAACACACTCTCCGTTACTCATAATTTCGTGACTAATAAACTGTACGTTCCAATGCAATGACGTTTTCGATACATACGGTCATGGAAATAATGTAATCTTCTATTGCTGACAGAGACCTACAGTACCTTGCTAGTTTTACTAGTCACAGCTGTAACTTGAAGGCATTGTATATGATTTTGTACCAATTACTGATCCTCGGATATATCCTGCTTATGCCTAGGTCACATTTCCAAACCGGGGCCCGGCCGGGCTGTTTATATGAACGAAAAACCAACAATTTATATCAAGAATATACAGAAATAGTGCCCGTGATTATCATCTAAAACTTTTCTGTGTTTCCTTGTCTTTTATATCGTACTTTTCATTCAATAAGACTGCCCGGCCGGGCCCCGGGTTGGAAATGTGACCTCAGCATTAGTACGATTCATGATACATGTATTAGACATTCAACTACTGAAGAATAAAATGCAAGAGGAGGAAGACTAGAGCGCCGGTTGTTGTACTGGAGGCACAGCACCAGAGTACGGTACAGACTGTTGTGGTGGTATGTATGTAGGGGGATAGGCAGGATCACTGGGAGGGTACAGCTGTGCAGAAAGCGGCGGCAACTGTGGCCTGTTTCCTCCCGGAGGCTGTGTCGGCATACCCAGGGCATCCGTGTACGCAGGGGGAGGGGGGTACTGCGGGGGTTGGGGGTAAGGCTGGTACACGGTGGAAATCTGCTGAGGGTTGTAGTGAGGATTGTAAGCCGGGTTCTGGTTGACCACAGTGGGCTGGTGCACGATGGTGTTGGCCGTCATGGTGATGTTCTGATGACCATGCGTTGCGGGTATGACCCGGTTGGTGGCGCTGCTGCTGCTCGAGCTGCTGCTTTTGCAGGCACAGGCGATTAGAGTAGCCAGGAGAGTGATGCTCCCGAGCACACCGATGACTATGCCAGCGATGGCGCCGCCACTCAGTGATGTATCTAGAAAAATACACCACATTACATGTGATATTAGCTATTTCGTACACACCATGGCCACGATTGTTAGTAAGTGTTAGTACATGTAACACCGATATCTAGTCTGGTTAACGTAACCAAGGAGGTTATCCTTCTACCTCTATGAGTTAACGTTACACTCTGACTCAAAAATATGAGAGGGCGATAGATAAATGTTGTTTAGATGCGTAAAATGTTGGTTTATCCCAGACAATACAATTTCAACGAAAGTATATCACATACATTATGTATCCGAGCTTTGAACAAAAAGTCATGTTTGTTACCTGACGTGCTGCATTCAATCCCGACGTCTTCACTGTGGCCGCAGTTCTCAATCCCCCATCCTGGGTACGAGCAGTCGAACAAGCTGCTCTCGCTCCCAGAGCAGTCAACGTTATCCATGTAGATGTCGCCAGATCCTGGAGCAAAAAAAATGATGTTTTGGTCAGAAAGACGAGTAACCAATGACAGGCTCATTGTGATTAGTAATCAGGCAGAAAAAATGTAGTTGTCTCCTTTCCAGAACTTAAAACGGACACAATATTGGAAATTGTAGTTTCCAAAGTTTAGAAACTTTGCATTGATGACGTACAAATGTATGCAACATTGAATGCTTTTTTCTTGCATTTTTATTACTACATACTTGGCTTATAAAGAACCCACTTTTCAAAGGAAAACATTTCCTTGTAGTAGCACCAAACACCCCCATACCTCGCCCATAATAGGCACTGCCGCGGACTCGGTTGGCCCCGGAGTATCCCAGCATCCTACAGACGACGTTAGCGTCCGCCATGCCGAAGTCGTCGTCACAGACGGTCCCCCAGGCGTACCCGTACTCCGGCCGGACCTCCAGGCGGCCCTCACTCGCAGCTGTCCCGCCCACCAGCCGGACCCTGTCGGAGTCACCCGTCCCTCCTGGGCTTGTTGTTATACCTGCACCGGGTTAGCATAGGGTTTCAATTCAATGTTCTATTACTCCTTTTCTAGTAGTTTGATGGACGATTAAACGAAATATCTACATGCTAAAGAATTGTTATCATTATCAAAATGAACCATTAGTTATCAAAATGAACCGACTAGTGACATCAGACTTTACAACTGAAGTCCAGTTTACCTGAACTATCGCACACCACACCAGCATCCTCACTGTGGCCGCAGTTCTCAACTCCCCACCCTGAGTACGAGCAGGAAAACAAACTACTCTCGCTCCCAGTGCACGCAAGGTCATCCATGTAGATCGGACCGGAGCCTGTACGTACATAAAACAATGTAACAAGTATTACATCATTGCCGTCGTATAGCAATATGATATTGCAATTCTGTGATAATATTGCCACATTTGAGACGAACTCAAACTATCCAATAAAAAAGACGGTTGAAACCAGAGCCAGCTAACAATAGTGTGCGCTGATAGCTTCAGGTTCAATGTACGTTATCAAATCACACTGAAAGCTATTCGATAAAAAATAACAAAAAGTCACCTTGGCCGAAACTTGCGGAGCCGCGGTACTCCAGGGCACCAGAATACCCCAGAGACCTACAGACGACGGTGGCGTCCAGGATGTCGAAATTATCGTCACAGACAGTTCCCCAGGTGTAGCTGTCGACTGGCCGGACCTCCACGCGGCCTTCATAGATGGTGGAGCCGCCAACCAGTCGGATCCGACTGGAAACCGCTGTAGGAAGCGATATGATAATCTATTTGGGACTTCTAGGGCCTTTTGCCAAAGTTGGTGTCTTGAACGTAACACACACGCCACACGATATCGACTAAAATGTAAGGTATATATATAATATATACCGGTGCGTTCATGGTACAATATACATGTGTATGGCTGCTACTGACTCGTAGTCAATATATCTTTAATAATGTATACCTAGTTTACATTAAACAAGTGCTAAAGTTAGTTCGTCACACGAAATCCTTAGATGACTACCTGAGCGTGACAGGATGTCACGTACGTTTCACGTCATTTGCACATGAGCATTGTGAGAATGAGAATGAGAATTTTATAATTCTTTTGAATTGCACGAGATCATGTGGATCTAATATGCCGCCAAATAAATTTCAAAATTGGCTTTGTGACCGGTAAAACCATATCTATTAGATTCCAGACAAAATGAATACTATATATTACATACCTGATGAGGAACAGACGACACCTACGTCTTCACCATGGCCACAATTATGCACTCCCCACCCTGAGTACGAGCAGTCGAACAAACTACTCTCGCTCCCAGAGCATCCAAGGTCATCCATGTAGATTTGCCCGGAACCTGCACCGAGGATCCATGTATAATTTTAAAGTAAATACAACTAAATCCTACCACTTAGCATCAAATGGCTCAAAGCCAAATCATGAACTCAGCTGAAACTACCCATATGTACCCACAAATAAGTAAACTGCACATGTTTATGTGTGATATTTACTCTCCTAAGTTGGGATGAACCACTTCCCAAATCAACAACGCTGTGCAACTTTACAACTATCTTTCTCAAAAACACAAGACAAAGATATTTTACCTTGACCAAAAGCTGCCGAACCACGATACTCTAGGGCGGTTTGGTACCCGAGCGTCCGACAGGCGACTTCGGCGTCTGCTGCGCCGAAGGAGTCGTCACAGACCGTCCCCCAGTCGTAACTGTCGGCTGGCCGGACCTCCAAACGACCTTCATAGCTGGTGGAGCCGCCAACAAGTCGAATTCTGCTGGACTCCGCTGTGGTAGCTTCAGTGAAAACAGCTCTCGTCAAAAAGTACTCTACCTACTGCAAACTCACCGCGTTTCAACTAAACTTCAAGCAGATTATGTGGGGAGTCTACACATGTATATTGGCCTCCTCTAACCATCGTGGGGCGGCTAATGGTTACAGGAGGCCAATATGGGCTCACTTTTTCCTACGGAATCTGCTTGGATATTACGTTTCAGCTTCATCACTATCAGATATAAATCTCATCAAGTACTAATCATTATTGCTCTAAAATTTGATATCTAGAAGTTGTATTCGTGACTTTTGGTTATCAAATTTCCATGGTATGATTCTTGTTCATGCCATGCATTGCCAATTTAAGTGCCTTCTTACAAGACGTAGAAGAAAGGAGGCAACTTACGCGGAATGGAGCCGATCGCGAGGACCGAGTACAGAACTTGGAAGGACCCAGTGATCGAGCCGTCCGTTTTTAACCTCAGGGTGAGATAGTTTCCTGTCGATAAGAGCACGCTTGGTATGTTGCTGTTGCAGACGTAGGAAGCTGAGTCGAATCCAGGCCAGCTGTAGTACTCTCCGTCGTACACGTACAAGTAGTCGATGCAACTCGAACTACCTTCAATGTTGACGTTCGGAAACTGCGTGCAAAAAATAATTAGATTAGATCATGTTGCAATTTTATAGCAGGAGGGATTTAAATTCCTGTCTGACCATATATACGAATGTGTTTGAGTCAGAATTAACAGAGCAGACCAGGTAAACATTATGCATTTGCCTTGCAAATGTTACCTTTCTAGTAAGTATATTTTTTTCGCTAAAGGCCCTACCTGTAGAGAGATGACTGAGTCAGTGGGCGCCAACATGACGACGTAACAGTCGACATTGTTGCCGTAGCTTCCTGTACTCCACGAGATGTAGCCAGTGTTTGACACGTCAATGGACGATCCACAGTTATAACGCATGTAAGCTGTAAAGATACATTAACCAAGTTAGCTAATCAACAAAGTGTATAGATACTGGTATTCGAACGGAGTTTAGCTTAAAAGTACTAGTAAGTATATGGCAGTGTCTTGTGTCGTCTAGCCTTACAAGTTGACGGTCAATATAACCATATAAGGCTAAGAAAGGTTTTCCTAGTCTATTTGAGGATTAAGTATTTCAGGAGGTCAGACACACGAAGGAGACGTGAGATACACTAATTGCTGGATTATTATCCTTCAAATATTAGAGAATTCCAACAACAGTGAGTTGAATATGCAACTACGTCATAGGGAGAGAGTCGACGTACCTACAAAGCAAACATGAACTGAATTAGAAGCTACAATTAACATTTTGTGGATAGTACTAGTGTCTCTTACTTCACACTTTGTTTGCAGCTTGTGTGAAAATGTCAACAAATGGACTAATGACAACGTACAAAGTACTAGCCGCCGGCACCATAAATATTACTCTTTACTCTGCAATGATACGGGGCAAAGTCTAATATAAAAAGACATACTTTCTGCATCCATATTATGTAAACTTCCCATGTTACACAATTCATTTAAATCTTCTACTTTATCTTCTGGGCAAGCCATGGTACTACTGATAGCCGTATAAACGGTGAGTGGCCATGCCTAGCCTCGCGTGAGGAAAGAGGAAGTGCGACACGAGATCGATGGCATGGTTGTACAGACAAATATGGCGGCCACGTACCTGTTGGGTAACCTTGTCCCAGCACACCTGCCCAGCTCAGGACTGCCAGGCACTGACACACCGTCCAGAAGTGCGCCATGGCGCGGGGTAGCGCGCCCCTTATCTCACATCGGGCTTTTAAACCATTCCATGTATCAAATGTCATAACAGGTACAAGATGTTAGGCGGAACAATCCTCGGGTCAGACAAGTCGACAGTCGAACAAACTGATAGTTCCCAAGGGACAAAGCGTTAATTAACAAGGCACTGGGTCTCGTCCTTTTCTACTTTAACTTTAAACAGTTTTGAAAAGATTATTTACATACAAGAACTCGTGGTGCCATATTAAATTATGTATATTTCTTATGTATATGTTTAGTGTCTGAGTTGTATACATTGATTCAAACGATGTCACATCCACTCAGCGAGTGAAACGATTGATCCCGTGTGGTTAGCACCAGGACAACCATGAAGGAAACAAACGGCCCATCCCTAATATCTAAACACAATAATCCACCCACTGTAATCTTATATTATGTCGTTTCGATCGAAATAATATAAGACATGACAAAAAATTGATATATCCTGTATTGTTTGTCACAGTTTGAAGTATGTCATGTATGCTTCAAGTATTATAGCGAAAACATATTTTGTCTATATTCGTAGATCAAAAGGCTTTCTCGTACTGAAATCGACCAGGTAATATCATCAAGTCTATTGACAAGAACAGTCTTCAAGTTTGAACATGCACAAATTGGAGACAAAGGCACTGGTCCCACACCTCTAAATATCCCCTATCGTCTTGCAAAAACGCCTTTCCAGCATTAACTGAGTTAACCACAGCTTCAGCAAACAATGGAACGCTTTTATATGCTTGCATTGATCAAGGGATTGGATCGTAAATTCACTTTGTCTGTTTTACCTGGTTGCTATGGATACAGCTGACGAGGTTCGGGTCAACATTCTGCAGGGCGTGACAAGCGATATGTCGTCATGCCTATAATAAGGTATTGTTTGTGTGAACCAGCTCCTGTCACGGCTCATCAAATATTCATGCCCGCGAGAAAGCGGATTATTTACTTTCTGGAGAGGCATGACCTTCATCCAGCTGTAAATAGATCTCGAGACTACCTTGGCTTATATTTTTGGCGACGCCTCACGGGCGGAGCCACTGGTGTTGCGCTAAGATTGAGATGTGAAATTGAGACTAGATATTCGGCCGATATAGTCGCCAGGCAATTGATTTTAATGAATGTATCAGAGGGGAATAAGAGTCTGTTTTGTGGGAACGCATATATGAATGGCAAACTTGATGTTGTGTTGGTATTGTTTATTGTTAGAAGCAACAACAATTCCATTTGTGTTCTGTGGATAATATTGAGGAAATGTATGTTCTCAATAAAGCAATGTTATTAGGAACACAGTATAGCTGCTCAGTGCACGTCTCACTGGGTGTACTACTGGGTGGCGGGTGTACCACACTGGGTAGATGCCTGGGTTTACTGGCCATACTGGGTCGGTTGCTGGGTGTACTGTCCATACTGGGGCGGCGGCTGGGTCGGTGGCTGGCTGTACAGGCCATACTGGGTCGGTGGCTGGCTGTACAGGCCATATTGGGGCGGTGGCTGGGTCGGTGGCTGGGTATACTGGCCATACTGGGTTGGTTCCGGGCCGTATTGGCCCTGTGCAGGCGGTTGCTGGGTGTACTGGCCATGTGCATACTGCATCATCTCCATCTGCCGCCGGGCTTGGTCAGCTTGGTGTTGCCTAGCCCGGCGAGCTCTGTAATTCTGATACCAACAGACACAAGCGCCGCCTGCACTAAAAGCGACTCCAAAACCGCTGAAGATACCGATCACGAGGCCAATGCCTCCTTCATCGTCCTCTTCTGTAAGGGTCCAGAAAGCAAGTGTCACTAATTCACGTTGGCTGCTGAGCGTGTAGTCACACTTCGTGTTCAAATTCAGCAGAAACGTTCAATTCACTGTAACAAACCCAAAGCTGTGAAACGTGGGTGGTCGAACTAATATGGCTTTGAGTCCCAGGCTGCAAACTTGAAAACGTGTATTAAGTTATATGGAAGATTCGGTTCATGCTGTAGTTCTGAAACGCGAATTGTTTTTTTTTTAATTCCAATATACCTACTGTATACGGTTAAAGGGTTAAGATATACGATTTCCGATTAATGCTGCTGGTATTCAAGATAGTCTATCTTACCTTCTACACACTGGACGCCGACGTCACTGCTGTGAGTGCAGTTGTGATTTCCAGCGCTCTCGTATGGACACGAGAATAGGCTGTGCTCGTGCCCAGAGCACTCTAAGTTGGCCATTTCGATCTCCCCTGTACCTATTATATATTGAGAGATAGTAGGATATCCGTATAAGTAACAAAACAATCCATTTTTACAGTAAGATTAAGGCGGCAAGGCTGTGGTCATGAAGCTGCTCTAATGATTATGAGAGCAGCTTTGAAAACACGTAACACTGCACTTACCAGACTTGACGTTTTTCCCATGAGCTTGATAGTCAAATGATCTTCGAACAAAGAATGGCATTTCTTATCCAAAGAAAGACTTGGTCACCTTGTCCAAAGTACGTGGTATCTCCGGTGAAGTTGATCGGTGGTCCGAGCTCGAGCATTCGGCAGGCGACCCAAAGGTCGTTCATGTCGAAGCCCTGGCTGCAGACGGTTCCCCAGTTCACGGTGTTGATCACTCGCACTTCCAAACGGCCTTCAGAGGACTCCAACCCTCCAACCAGCCGAACCTCGTTCGAAAGCGCTGTGTAGATTGTACGTAACAAACGTGAGAAACCCAGCAACCACAATTGTTTATATAGACCAATGGTAGATATCAATAGTTTGGTCGTTAGAATGAATCCTATGGTGAATTTCGGGCAAGACTTACTTAAAGTACTAAACATGCACACTGAAAATATTTTGTGTAATATGCGAAGGCTTTCGGTAATTTCGTTGGGACTATTCAAGCCTAAGAGGTATTACTTAGTTCACAACCACAAACCAATGTGTTCTGTCATGCAGCGGCATGTGAACAATGCCATGATGGAGAGATTTGCCAACTGGCACAGTAGTAACACTCGACTCTGTGTGATTAGAGAATAATAATGAAGACTGTATGAATAGAAAATACTTGTTGTAGGTACGTCTTTTCTTACAAGACGACATTTGGAAGACGCGTTGCCACACGTACCCAGAGCTGCGTAAATAGAAATCCTCCAGGTGCTGCCACAGTTCTCAGAGGGCTTCCCCGGGCAGGCCATGTTACACTCGCCGTCAGACACGGCAGGCGCCAGGCTGGCGAAGTTCCCGGCAGTTCCGCAGAAGCACTGCCACGAGAACTCTGTTCCTGGTTGGTTAGACATGTTAGAAGGAGTTTTAACGGATAGGTCATGGACGGGGCACGGCAAGAGAAAGTATGAAACCACATTTTGCATACTTCAAAGCCAACGTTCGCTCCCATATCCTAGCAACGTCACTCCCAACTTAGTTCATTGCCTAGCCTGGGTACCATCCTACCTGTATGCCGGGGCTCCCACACTCGCTTCCCTAAGAAGTACTTCTTAGGGAAGCGAGTGTGGGAGCCCCGGCATACAAGTAGGATGGTACCCAGGCTATTCATTGCCCAGAAGAGATTGCCAATTTAAAAGCAATTAGACAAAACAAGGTAATTCACCTGCGTATTCGTATCCACTGTTCCTGCAATGGTCGACACACTTGGAGGTCGTTTGGAAAAGGTCCCAATTTTCCACGTAGGGCAGCACACGGGCGTCACTGTCGGCGTAACAGCCCATGTACGAGTACCCTCCTGCAGATACAGCACAAGAACAGCATTCGAATATATGAAGTCCAAGTAACAAGTTAAAGTAGAAGGCGTTATATATGTATGTGCTTTTTGCCTGATACTCTTTAGATACATGTGAATAGATAATAAAAAGCACAACACAAAAATGACAGAAAGTTACAGCTACAATAGAGAGTACATTTGCAACTGCAACACAATTGAATCCCATTTACTCACCAAGCGCACCTTTTCCACTCAGGAACGTAAACAATATGAGAATGGTAATTTTTATGGTCGCCATGGCATGTGCCATATGACAGCTCACTCACATGATACTGTTAACTTAATACATGCTGTTTGGAACACGAACAATTCAACTACATATTCCTGTTACATCTGCTCAAATATGAAAACTACTCGTGCTTCAAAAGTCAGGGGTAACGTTGGACTATACGAAATAACCAGGATATTGTTGTTGAAGCAACGTTGATGGAATGTCTGTTTATTTTACTGGTGCGTAGCAACAATAGGTTCTAGAACACACCGATCTCGTTCTCAGCTCACTTCCAAAACTTGTACCCAGGGCACTTTGCTACATCTCGTCCGACACAAAGGAAGTCCACGCGACGGTTGACAAGTTTCTTTTATTATTCAGCAATGCAAATGGATGGCATACGAATACTTCAAAATTAATGTTCCACATGCTATTTTTGTCAGTGATTTTAGCGGTTACGCACACACAAAACCGTGGTTGACAAAGTCATGATACACCTTACATGTACATTGGCGTATATTGGTGTGCATATGGCATCATGAAAATACAAACTCAACCTGAATTTTATGTACATCCTGATGTGTCTAATAAAATGTACATCACCGAGTGCTTTGATAATAAAACCTACAACACGTATAAATGTTATAATATATTATCTGAGTAGATAATTTTTTTAAAACTGTACAAGGTATACGTAAAACGTTATTGATATCTTTGAATATAAACAACTCTGCGACTTTTACATACACAACAAATCCTTAACGTTTCATCAGTATTTCACTGTATGACCAGCACAACCGTCATATGTTTATACTCGTACATGTTCTAAACAACACCTTGCAAAATCCCAAGCAAAAAACATTATTTTCGAGTATATTGATATTTTTAAACACATTATCATCCGTAGTCCCTGTCGGGCGGGGTTAGCTGCTGCACAACTGCACTCCACGCTAAACACATAACTGCATAGAATAAATCCAATATGGCTATAAATTCTCAACTCAACTTGCTGTGTACAAGAAGGTCTAGGACAGGTCTAACATTAAAAAGTGTCCCCTAGAATCCAATATGGCTATAAATGCTCAACTTGCCGACGTTGCGTATAAGAAGATCTGGAATAAGAAGATCACAAAAGTGTCCAATCATCGATATACAGCATCATTAAATCACCAGTCATGGCCGATTGAAGTAGGGGCATCGACAGACTAATCCATCGAAAAAAGTTCAGTTGGCAATCTGAGCAGCACAGAGCATCAAGACCATCTTTTTACCTATTTCATAGTATAAGCTAAAGTGTCAGTCTGGCTTTCTGATTGATATGAACAGATTGAGATCCACTAAAAAGACAAAAAAATGGTCATCACGGATTTCATGTGGACTTCGGTAGAGTCTATTGAAAAAAAGGGCTAAACAGCGGGTGGCTTCGCCGCCTGGTCGTAAGCCTGAGGGACGGGCGTGAACTGTGCAGGAGGTTGGTTGGGCTGCGCGTACAGCACAGGCTGTACAGGCTGCACAGGTTGCATAGACTGCATGGGGTACGCCACACCCTGCTGTATGTACGTGGCGTTGCCAGCGGCGGGGTACATCACGTTGCTGGTGACCACCGTGGGAGCGCCACCTGCCGGTGGAGCCGGGCCTAGCACCCTGCCGGGAGTCTTGTTCTTCTGACAGCAGATGATGGTGACGGTCAGCACGATGACGAGGAAGATCAACACGCCGAAGACGATCCCAACGATGGCTCCAGCACTCAGGACTGTCAAAGACACAAAGATAAAACCTGTGTTAGCATCTGATATATTTTGAGAGAGAGCGAGAGAAAAGACAAAGAAATGATTATGACACAATACAGTTCCGTACGTTCTGTTTCAAGTCAACACATCTTTACCTCCTCCGCAGACGATGCCGACGTCTTCACCATGACTACAGCTGTGACTCCCGGGGCCATTGTAGCTACAGTCGAACAGGCTGCTCTCGTGCCCTCCACAGTCCAGGTTCGCCATCTTGATCGCTCCTGTACCTGTAACATTCATCAAAATTCAACATTAGGAAATGGTGCGACAATGAGCATATCTATCTTTTATGACAGTCATCTAGAAATATAGAGATGGGTTTGTCTAGGTCCCCTTTACTTTATGGCGACTGTTGATCGCCAAAATGACATTTTTATGGTCTATGATTTGAAAAATTGAATATAAAAATCACTGATGCAAAATTTAAAGACAGCAAAAAACACCATACGCACAAAATACACGTCTTAGTCTGAACTACTTCAAATGAGATTTTTGGTCGCCAATTCGCCGTCTGTTGTAGCCGTGGAAAGGGACTCCGAGGACGCCTTTACCTTGTCCGAAGTAGCTGGTGTCGCGCACGAACTCAGGGTCGCCCAGCCCCAGCATGTTGCAGGCGACTCTGGCGTCGTCCATGTCGAAGCCGGTGCTACAGACGGTCCCCCAGTCTTTGGTGTTGTACGCACGGACTTCCACACGTCCTTCTTCCTCTTTGCCTCCACCAACCAACCGGATTTCGTTTTTCAGAGCTGCATGCGTTGTAAGGGGAAGAAGATTTACACGTATGTTCATGAGCAATGTTGTGCATAGGTAATGTCAAATAATATCTGAATTGTATGGTTGCAAGTCTTCCTCTGACCAACAGATTGTATGTTAATGACTTAAAAGTCTATGAAGTGGCTACATCATCTCTAAAAATGTCACTTGGATAATCGATCATGTCTGCAATTTGAAAGGGAGCTGTTACAGGGATCTCCCCATCAGCAAATGGCTAAGAAGCCCAAAAATGTCGGGAACAATTGTAATTCTAGAATTGTGACAGTACTAGTAATAATGAGTTCCCTTTGTGTTGGATCAAAGTAGAACTTTACCATTGTGGATTTTACCAACACAGATGAGCTTTCATTGGAAGTGATAATGTCATTAACTTTAAACGCACCCACTACCGCGTACACGGACATCCTCCAGGGTCCTCCACACTTCTCCCCGCTGTTGCCGGTACAGTCTGTGCTACACTCCCAGTCAGGCACGGCGGCCGGCAGCGTGTTGAACTGAGCGTCAGTCCCACAGAAACACTGGAACGTGAACTCCGTTGCTGGTTGAAAAAACAAAATTCTTTGCTATTCAAGCGTGACAGATTCGCTGAAATCAATCTCAAATCACATCGAAGTAGTTTGCTGTGCAATCAACTACAGAAGATAGGTTTCAAGAAATCACACATCTACCTTATATACATTTTCCATGTTTGTATTGGAATTAATGAAAGTTTTATTCATCAAAACACCATAGCAGCCATATAGGCCAGGCTGAATTGCGTGTGTCTATAAACATGGTACTTTGAAAAATGCGCTACTTATCTATTACATACGTAGACACATGCAAAACAATAAAAAAGAATGATTCTTAAAAACAGGCCACCCTGGTATATACAAACTTCAGCCTTCTTCAATGCTTAACAGTTTTAGCAAGTTTTTCTTTCTACATTTTGTCAATGTGTGAGTTTCATCACGAATGGCTACCTGCATAAGGGTATCCCTTGTCCCTACAGTGGCTCACACACCGGGCGTTGGTGAGCTGTCCGTCCCATTTCTCCTCGTGGGGGAAGTTTCGCACCGCTTGGTCCACATAACAGCCTTCATATCCAGCTGGCACTGTCAGAGATCAACCAATACATAATATCGTTGAGAGAACCCTAGGCTTTAAGAAGGGGTATCTTAGGACCCCAGAACAAAACAAGTGTCAAGAGCACAAATATACAAAAAATGAGTTCCTCAAATCACCGAAGAGCCTATTTTTTCAGTTAAATATAGTAAATCCATGAAAAAATCAGCTAAATCAAAAGGAATGATCAGTGTTCTGCAATGACCGCCAGGAATGGGGCTAATCAAAAGAGGTCATTTTGTATGCGAAAATCTACAACGCACTAGTACTGTTATCAACGCTAGGATACCAAACAATTTGCATTTAGTGAAGTTGACAGACGCCCTAATAGGAATAGACTACATATAGGGAGAACACTTCATGGCATCTTCAGCGCTGGGGTCAGTTAAGGTCACAGGCGGTAGTGAGCTTTATTTCATACGACGTGTCAAACAATAGCGCGTATTATGCTGTAATGTAAAAGACGTGGAAATTCGTACACTGAAATTACATGCTTATATACAAGTCCGTCAGACCTGCAAAAGGTCGAAAAATACACTAGAGGTTCCCGGGTAGGAAGTTATGCGATGTACAGAACAAAACCTTCATTGTGTTTATGCACAAATAAACCGTACGGTAAACAGAACAGAAAGAATGAACATATCAGATTCTTTCCGATGCCACAGTACCAGTGATACAACATCTGTTGCTTATGTACCCGTCATGGGCTCAAAACTCGCCCCAAATGTTTTATAAAACAAAAAGAAGAACTGGTACTATCCGTGTTCGACTATACAGACGACCTTGGTACTTGTAAAGTATGTTGGTAAAATTTGTCTAAACAAAGATGGCGGCTGCTCACCTTGCGCACCTGTCCCACGGAGAACTGTCAGCAAAAGAACCACCTGCCACCCACCCACCATGGTCCTGACGTGTGTCACGCAGATACTAGATTATAGAATTCTTACCAAATGTCACAATAAAATGTAGAAGGACAAGCTTAAACTGGCAGTTTACGAAGAGGATCGGTGGCAAATTCGGGACCTGGCTACTTTAATGGCTGCTCTTCTCAAATGTCCTGTGTTCATTGGGGTCTGATCGTTTGTGACATCACGTGATATCTGAGTTTGTTCACAAATATAGCAACAGAGACGTTTTCGGTACTGGAAGACTCACAACACACCTCTTGTATGTAAGTGCACTATTATGGTTCATAAATTTGTTCACAACACCATCGCTGAGAGCACAGTGCACGTCGTGTGAATGTGAAATGATCGGCCCCTCCACTGTGAGACAAAAGAAGCCATCCCAGTGTGGTACGACCTGCCGAACTAGGACCCGGCCTGCATGAAAGGGCGCTATCGGGTAACGTTGTGCGTAAGACTCACGTGCACACGAGCACTTTTGTGTTGTTGTTGTCTCAATCGTTGGAATGCAACGTTTAACATACGAAATGAGGACGGTATGATGATCAGTCCACTCACTATAAGATACAAAACGTGACAATTGCAGTGACTTGGGCTTCACTAAATGGTCATACGAGGCTGCGTGGTTCAGTCGTTCACACCTGGATGGTTGCTATAGTGCATATGCGGACGGTGCCATTGAGAATCGGGGGAGGGGAAACCCGATACATATCATGGGTACTTTTGTCCTTTCATGGGAGGTTCTCTCGGTTTTCAGTTTGTTCTCAGCAAATGAAATGCCGAACGTACAGTCTAGAAAAACGCTCTACATGAACGACAAAACGACACTGTTGAAAATACATATAACCGTTCTCATAAGATCCACCGACGGATAAATACAAGAATATCAGAACACTCAAACTCACATTAACACCGGTGACACTGCCGGATGCCAATGCAAACGACTGATATGGCGACTGTAATTTATAAGAAATCAAACTCGGTTGGGTTAAGGCAGCCTATGGCATACTATGAGTAGTATTTCATACATATGCCTGTAACTTTTGATAGCTGGTCGCACCACAACTAAACTTCACGCAGTTCTAGTAGTACTTAAAACACATTGAATAAAGGTTATTTTGTTTTTACTACTTCTGGATTTTTGGGTTAAAAATCAACATTTTGGTTAAAAAAAGCTGTTTACTTCATGGCTTTACGCGCAAGCGGTAACAACACCTTTCATCATGATATTTTACAAGTAGAAAGCCAACCCCCTATTTATTATTTTTGTCCGAGGCTATTTTGTTTTACATGACAGTTACATTGTTTTTTTGGGCCAAAAACGGCAGAAACAGCTATTTTTCTGTCATTTTTCGTTAAAAAATCGCCACAGTTAAAAAATATCGACTTATATGCAAAATAGCCTCGGACAATTTTGATAAAAAAGTGATAATACGTAAACATGGATTACTCTAAAGATCAATTATGCTGTTTTCAGCTGCGCGTAAAGCCGTTTAAGTCATACTCCGTGAATAAAATGCGTAACAACGCGGGTTTACAGGGGAAACATACAAATGACCGCCGGTAACCCCGAATTCGAACACGCGTTCTATTCGAATGACGTCATATCGAACATGGTGGAACATGATTCGGGTTCGAAACATGTTTGTGGCAATCGTGCAGACACACGCCCGAACTCGAACATGAGTATCAGCCTAGGCCGCCTTAACCCAACCGACAACCGCGACAAACTGACTGGTCAAAACATTTGAAATTTGAGGTAACTGAGTACCAGATCAAATTCACATACTCTATTTACTCATCCGAATCTATATAATTTTTTAATCTATAGAAACCTATATATTGTCTGTATAACCAATCTGGATATAGTTTTAAAATGTACAGTTTCCCACTCATGCAATAAACCATAGTAGCAACACAATGCAGCATATACGAGTCTCTCTCTATATATATACACAAAGGATAGTGCATAATCAGGCTTCTCATTGGCCCGCGCTTTCACTGTATGGACAGTGGTGAAATTTACTTCGTAATAATGGTTACTGTCTTCTAGTGTGTTAGACGATTGCACATGGAATAATCCAGATCTTGGACATCACAGAAACTTTTGCTGGGAAAATTATATGGCCGCACACAAATAACAATGATAGATTCTGACATTCAAAACGTGAGATGTTGTCATAGCTTCGACTATTGTCCAGGTGTAGTAAGACTAAACAATACTTTCTTTTTACAAGTTTAGCGTGTTGCTAAAACATCAATTCTCTGTGATATATCCAGAGTATTGCTTTCCCCAATAGCAGTTTTAAACGTAATCAATATCAGAGCTAGCATTGCAGTATCAGATCCCCACCACTCCATAGGAATGGCTCGATTGGTAGCTGGAGGATGGTCACAGTCGACATGTGGGCTTAAGTCTGCTAAGCGTAGAGTTGGCCATCGGACGGTTTGGCAGGTTCTTCGTAGGCCGGAGGAGGGGGGATGTGACTGGATTGCGGCTGAGGCTGAACGGGTTGGTTAGATTGCGGGTAACCCGGAGCCTGTTGAGCTTGCATGGGCTGGTAACCTGGGGGTTGCATGGGTTGCTGGTAAGGCTGCTGAATCGCCATGGGGTACGCCCCGCTCTGCTGCACGACGATCCCGTTGACGGGGTACATCATGTTGGTGTGCACCACGGTGTTGGCGCCCATGTGGTTGGTGTGGACCACGGTGTTCCCGCCGGTGGACACGCCCGTGGCGGTGACCCTGCTGGACGGCTTGCTCTGACAGGCCAACACGCAGATGATGGTGAACATGACGGTGAGGAAGACGATCACACCCACCACGATCCCGATGATGGCTCCGAGTCCAAGGCCTGATGCTGGTTCTGAAAGTCAATTGTATTTTCAGTCAAGAAAATCATCGGGACAAATCAGCTGGAGTGCTGTATCATCTCCACTGTTGTTCAACTAATGGTATCCGTCTATCTTCATGTACCATAAATGTACCCGGAGTATCCGTTAGTAATGATACACCTGTTGATTAGATATACTGGTGGTGTCATAACTACAATTCGTATCGACACAGATTGCACTCCATAGCAGTGCATGCATCTCTTAATCTGTAACACATTTGCTGGGAGGTTCAGTTTTGCAATGTTTTTTTGTCGGTAACGTGATTAGTTCACTTGTTACCACAGCTAGAACTAATCACAATTGTATAGTTCACTTACTTTCGTTGCAGACGATACCGACGTCGTCACTGTGACTACAGCTGTGACTTCCCGGGCCATCGTAGCTGCAGTCGAACAGGCTGCTCTCGTGCCCTCCACAGCCCAGGTTCGCCATCTTGATCGCTCCTGAGCCTACAACAGTCCACATAACACGTGGTGAAATCGCTGAATATTGGCATGATACATCGTTTCATTTCTGTGTAATTACAGAGCACAAGCTCAAATGTCAAATTCTAAGTTTTGCGCCGTTTACAGTATAAAACCTTGATAATTTCGACTCGCTATGTTAAGGATGCCACAGTTGCTAGTTGGTGTACGTATATGTTAAATTTTATACTTTCTTTATTCTGGGATTCATTTGACAAGTTATAGCATAGTGCGTCATTACTCAACATAAAGAGTAAAAGGATATATAGGACCTGTACATTCTAGGTGGCATGCAGCTGGGATTACAAACGTAAACTTCTTTCCATGCCGCTAATATTACCTTGTCCAAATGAAGTGGAGTCGCGCACGTCCTCAGCGTCGCCGTGCCCCAGCATGCGGCAGGCGGCTGCGGCGTCGTCCATGTCGAAGCCTCCGTCACACACGGTCCCCCAGTCTTTGGTGTCGACTGCCCGGACTTCCACACGCCCCTCTCTGTCATTGCGGCCGCCAACCAACCGGATTTCGTCCTTAAGAGCTGCATACGTTGTAAGAGGGAGGTACTTTGTAAGTTTACAACTCGTTTCAACTTGTGTCACATCATAAAAGACAAAAGATGTCGGGAATGACAAAAAATGTAAGAGCAATTGCTATATTGGAATACTTACCCACTACTGCGTACACAGACAGCTTCAGACTCCCGCCACATTTTTCAGCATTGTTGCCGGAACAGTCCGAGTTACATTCCGAGTCACTCAGGGCAGCCGGGAGGTTCTGGAAATTCTGCTCCGTCCCACAGAAACACTGCAGCGCCCACTCGGTACCTCGAGAAGGGAAGGAAATTGATTACTTTGAATGTCATGCACGCACGCACGCACACACACACACACACACACACACACACACACACACACACACACACACACACACACACACACTCACACACACACACACACACACACGCACACACGCACACACGCACGCATGCACACACACACACTCGCCACACACACACACCATACACACTCACGCACTCGCATACACACTTCACAAAAGCACGTGTTCTGTGTCTACCTGCGTATGCATATCCCTTGTTCCTACAGTGGCTCACACACCGAGCGTTGGTCAGCTGAAAGTCCCACTTCTCGTCATGAGGGAGGACCCGGATAAAACTGTCCGGATAACAACCCTCGTATCCGGCAGGCGCTGGAGAGGGAGAAAATCAGTAGTTATAAGGTAGTTTGAAACGAAAAGGGGCGTGTTGTGTTGTGTTGTGTTGTGTTGTGTTGTGCGTTCGTACTTATAGAATATACTGTACAGCTGTGATATTACATGTAAAATCGATGTAAGATCGATTTCCTAATACTGTGTTTTCACGTCACGTATTTTGTTTAGTAAGGACAGTGTTTACTTATGAGTCAGAGAAAGCAAAGAAAATAAACTAGCAGGAATTGCTTGTAGGCTCATTGTGCACAATACCGAAGGTTACTACAGTTATGCTGGTTTATGTAAGGAGCCGGCTTACGTAAGTGACGCGAGTATAAGCCACGCATGCTTCACTGGTGAAACTATACATGTAAGTGAAAGTGTGGAACATGAACTGTTTTTTTAACACTTAATTGCCCCTTTCAATTGTGTCACAAACAACAAAGGAAGCCTTTCTTCCTGTGCGGGAGAAGATAATATACACTATTTTGTGTAAGAAAACTCGATTAGATCATTGTAGGACTTGTTTACCAGGTTGCTAGCCAACCATAAGCCTTGTCCCTCTGGACAATACATTGCTCTAACCACCTAGAACTGAAACTACAAAGGCAGTTTAATACATCAAGATTTGCAATTACAAATCAACGTAAGTGTTGCTGCTCATTAGTATTAACCACCAAGTTGTACGTGTGTTGTATCTGGTTTGTGAGGGAGATTGACAAAAAAATACTGACCCGAATCAGTCACCAAGAATTATGTCCCATTGGTTACTAAGTGACAGTTCCGAATGCAGGTAAATCGTACAACTAAACAATTCAGAAATACGTGTACCACGACAAGCTATTGAAACCACCGCGATCATAACTTGAGTTATTTACATCTGAGTGTTCGGACACAGTCTTCCTCTTCATAATTGCCAGGAAAAGTATAGATATTGAAGACTAAACAATGTTCTCATTTCTCGGACATAGACGGTGGTTACTATGGCTCGATATGACGTAGCCAGTAGTACTTCCAGATTTGCAAGGAGAGCTTTGAAAAGTGTTATATACTTGGTGTATCATGTCCATTTCAAGGAAGAAATACATTTTATTCGTATGCTATTAGTCCTGCCTGTCAATTGCGTAAACAAGTCGAGCCATCATCCTTTGACGTCAGGTGCTATTGTACCATCTATACAAATAAATCGTTCGACAGGACGTGTAGACAACTAAACTATCCCAGAAATGCATTCTAACAGGTGGTAGACTACATACAGATATCCCCGTCTTTTGGGTGACCGTCAGGGGCAGAAATTCGTCTAATAGGAACTAGTAAATTCGATGGAATATCAGCGCTATCTGTACGTTACCATGGCAACGCGTGTTGACACGGTCTGTCTGAACAAACATGGCGGCTACTCACCTGCGCGTGTCCACTGGACGATCGTCAGCAAAACAATCCCCGTCCACACGCCAGCCATGGTCATTCCTTTCGTACCACAGATATCAGTTCTAATGTTTACAAATCCTATCCGTAAAGAAAAAGAAGGAAATCGGAAACTACAGGCACACATAGGTCGGCCGGTCAGTGCCTGCGTGACGACTACTCTTCCCTACTGTCCAGTATTCATTAGGGCCTGATCGTACATGAAACGTGGCGATAGCCGCGCTTCATTAAAAGCATATCACTTCGCAAATTTTCGACACTGCACGATCTGGGTGTAACTTCTCTCTTAGATTTTACAGTTTCGGCTGAGAACCTTGAGTGCAAATTCGTCGCTTATAAGGTTCACCCTAACTCATAAAAGAAATGGCCAATCCCCTTTTCTGGGATACAAAGGGAGCCGTACAACCTGTCGGACGTTGGGTCGGTTTGTACATTGGAGATGGACACTTGTCCACATTTATGGGTTACAAAAGTGAGGAAAGGGTCACGCACATACACATATTCTCTAAATAGATGTTGACAAGGAAGATCGAAACATTCTATATAATAATCTTTTTGACATTTGGTCCGGTGTGTACTAATTTACAATTATGACAATCAGTAAATGGACTATGAACTGCAACGTACTGGTAATTCAAAGTTTATTGATGTACACGTGAAGACTAATACAAAAAAAAAAAAACAAGAAATGGCTTTAGATTCACCTTGTCCGTTCTTGCTCGAACGTGTTCTTCGATTTTTTTCTTTGCCCACTTGCCTATTTCGCAAGACTAAGTTAAAATTGCATTACATGTAGGACTGGTATTATCTGCGCCAGTGTACGAAGAAGAATTGTTGACAGTCAATGTCTGTCCTCAGTGCAGCACCCCTGTACTACGACACCGTAGGTTGTTTCCTGGGCATCTGTAGTGCTTCGTTGTACGGAGGCGGCGGCAGCTCCTGTCCAAGTCCTACCGGTGGCAGAGGCGCTCTGGCCGGCTGCTGGAGACCGTACCACTGAGGGTTACCTGGTGCAGGCGCGGAGGGATACACCGCTGGCGGGATGTAAATGAGCCCTGGAGGACTAGTAAATTCATCTGAGTTTCGTTCTGGTGTACTTGTAAACGGTCGAGCGTTCCTGAGCACGGAGGCATTAGGGCCTCTTGTTGCAGTAACCGGAGGAATATTCAAAGGCGGGAGGTCGTCGTCATCATGGTTCCTACAACATTTGAAGATGATGGCGACGAAGACGCACACAGCAGCGATCACCCCCACAACAATGTACACAATGGTGTCGCTGTCGGTTTTGGCTGAAACGACAAAGAAAAATATCATCATGATCAAAATGTGCAGTTAAGTGTTTCCTTGCCCTCCCATCCCTACAAAATTGAATTCCTTTATACGTTCGAGTGAGTGAGTGAATGAGTGAGTTGTGTCTATTTTTTTCAGATGTAACCGACCTTCCTCCACCCTGTACTCGATGCTGTAGGTCCCCTGCGTGGAATGGTCGGAGAAGAGGCGGATTGTGATGCTCTGTCCCCAGGACACGTCATGGCTGTAGTGAACTCCTCTCCAACAGTAGTGAACAGAACTGCTGTCTGTGTCGCACAGGAAATCCTTCTCATTGCACGCCTAGCGGGAAAGACACGAACTACATAAAGCATTGAACTTCAACATCGCGAAAAAAAACAGAATATAATCTAGATTTTGAACTGGGAAGCCACATTGTGAGACAAATTTCAGTTCAAAACTTTCTAAACAGAATACTATACAAATACACATAGCAAAATAAGATGAAAGGTTCATAAAACCAAAAGAAACATTTCACAAATACTAACTTCTACCATTCAGTTCACTAGTATTAATAAAAAGTTTCAACCATTAACACTGTATAACGTACAAATATGTAGTCAGAACAGTCGCCAGGCATGCCGGTCAAGTTGAAAGCCTCCAAACTGATGACGTAGCCAGAGTCTGTGTAGTAGTTGACGGCACATTCTGTGTAGGGCGGATACGGGCCGGCCCGGTGATACGTGATATAGCCCGCCTTGTCAGCTGGCAGATACACCTCTGTCCAACATTTATCGTACATCTCCTCTGTAGCATGGGGAAAGAGTTGATATATGAATTAATACTGTAGTCATATCTCTAATTAGTTTATAACACCTATTTGTCAATGTGACCCCAGGTATCTTCACCTTGGAAATAAGCCCAGACCCCTCGCAGTTCACAACGCCTAGAGGGTGTACTCGGATTTCAGTTCAATTAAAAGCCTTTGTTAATTTTGTAAGATGCATTTTTAGTTGTCGTTAGTTGTCCAGATACTAGTACAAAGAAAGTTTAAGATATATGGCTTTCTACGCTAGCGCTGTAAATATAACGCTTGTATATATGGCCAGCGAGGGTTAGGTCCATTTGAGGTCAATGACCCTGGCTGCTGTCAGTTTCAAAGAAATTTTCCAGAAACACCCAGACTGTCCATAAGATAAAACCTTTACGAGGATAACTTCGTGTCTTTTCTCGTAGATAACAGGTTAGTTGTTAAACCAATACACCATCGACGTATTTTCAACATTCCAGGGGCCTATTAGATCCTATTACAGCTGGGACATGCAGACTGTGCAAAAATAGCCGTAACGTAAACACAACATTGGGGCCTGGGGAGGGGAAAATCACAGTTGTCCCAAGGTTTGCCAAATGGAGCACGGATTTAGACCTTTAAACGTTACCTGTAAACCTCCCTGCAAGATCGCGGTACCCGTCACCGAGAACACCGCCATCACAGAGCGCCACCAGAATCGTTAATGTGAAAAACATCGTTGGTCTGTGATGTTCTGAGTTGCACGTTGACAGATGTCGGGCCGGGCGTTCCCGTCTCCTCACTTCCTCTGGAATCTTGCGCTCTGTTCTCTCTGCACGCTGAACAAGGCTATGCATATGTCGAAGTGAAAAGACTGCTGTGAATACGCCGCATACGTCCAATATAATACTAGTAGTAGTACAAGTCGTAAACGTTGGTCGAGAGCCCTGGTCGAGAGATGGGCGATTCTTCGACGTCACCCTTTGACCCCGCAAGTAGGGTCATGTGGACGCTTGGCGAGATAGATACAAACTGCAGTAGCACAGCTCCAGCTAAATGAAATATTCCGAGTAGGGAGTACTACACGTATTCGCGGTATTTGGGCCATGGGCATATACACAAATAGCAATGGGGTAGATTATTCGGAGAGAAAGCATAAAGGACAATGATAATTATAGTACCACGATGTATCCTGCACATTATAATTCATATCACGTCGTCGACGCAACTGAAAGTTATCGGCACATCACACTTTTATTGCGTCGCACAGACGACTTTGATTGATAGTTAAAAAACCAAACAGCTGTAGCTACAACTTAAAATAAACAAGTTGTCAGACAAGATATACACATTCGTATACACATATAACATCAGTATTCTTCCAAATGATGAATCGTTGAATTGGCGAATTCCTCTATCTCTTGTAAGAAATAACACGTAGAACAGTTACCTGTAGTTATATAAAACATGCTCATCACAATAGTTTTAAGCGTACGTAAGCCATCAGGCATGTCAGGCAGAGCAACAAATCTAACTTTTAAAAACGTGTAGTAAAAACTGCTGAGGTCTGTGTGTTCCATGGACATTTGCCGGTGATTCCAGCAATGCAACATACTGCTGATTGGCAATGACATCATGTCAATCTTGATATGATACTGTACAACAAAACTGTTTATCATGATTGCCCTGCCGAGGCCGGTGGTTCTTTTGGCATCCATAGCGCCTGGTCATACGAGGGGGGTGGGGTGACGGGCTCTCCTATCTCTGATGACGCAGGGGTAGGGGGCTCTACCACTACGGAGGGGGGCAGGGCGCTGTTCGTTGGCTGCGGAGGCGCGGAGGGATACGAGTATTGTCGGGGACTAGGCTGTGGCGGGACGCGTTCGATTGTAGGTGTGCCCACTGTGTGCGGTCGGTCGGTGTGGACTACAGTAGTAGGGTGTAAGTGAATGCTGTCTCCTGGTGTCTCCCCCGGGTATTGGACAGATCTGTCCTCCACTGTTTGACTGCCGCCGCCCCGGCTCCTTTTACCGCAGCAGTATACCACAACAGCGAGCACCAAGATAACCACTACAATCACCACCACTACGGTCACGACGGTGCTGCTGTTAGTGGCACCTGGAGAAACACACAGAAATAGAAAATAGAAGTTGTCGTTGAGTGATTTTGATTATGTCTAGAGCAGAACCGAACGAGAAAAGTAAAGCAGAACATAGTCTTCGGCCAGGTAGTCTAATAGAAAATTTTTCTCACCTGACACATGGCATCCAATGCAACTTCAGAGTGGCAAAACAAGAAATATTTTCGATGAGAAAATCTGTCTGGTATCTATATCTATATCAAGTTATATTGACATTTACTGCCATTTTCTTACCACATTCAATACTTGAAGCGTTTGAAATAGCCCCGAAACAAGCGTACCTCTATTTTATGTTAGAAACTTGACTTTGAAAAGCCTTAAGCTTTAACCGCACACCTTTATGTTCACACTGTCATTGCGATGATGATATTGCGACTGATGGAAAGGAATCAAGCACCAAACCTTTTGACTCACCTCCCTGCTCGATTCTGTAAAATATCTTGAAGTTGCCAGCCCTGCTCGATGACAGTCGAACTGTGAGGTCCTGCCCGGAAGTGACGTAGGAGGTGCTGTCTGGTGACGTGTAGCACAGACTGAAGTCCTCCTCCCAGTCGTCACAGCTTCCGGTGATGCCGTCACAGAGCTGGAGCAGAAAAGTGGTGCATCAAAACCTCACATCTATCGTCCTCAAATATAGGTCTTCATGATCAATTCCAGGTAAAAGTTGAGACAATTGCAACATTTGCATCGGTCGGATCACGAAAAAAAGCAGCACAGACAATTCTAGAGGGCGACATATGAGAAGTTGTTAGCCTGTATATATGTTGACGGCTGTTTAATAGCTTAAAACATTTATCAAAGGCTGTGTGTAATAGATCGTTCGGTGTAATGATACTATGCCAACTGCCACCGCGCCGCGTGCCTACGAAGCTGGTGCGTTACGCCGGGGGTGGTTATACCGGCTATATTATAGACACAGGTACAGATACAGATTCTGTATCTGTATCTATATACCCGGTATAATCACCCCTCGGCGTAACATACAGATACAGATAAACCACGAGCATTTTTGGCATCATCTTTAGCTAGGAGAACACAACTAACGAATAGACTGTCGTAGCAGCGGTGGTCCATCCCGTCGACGTCCCAACTCTCCAGTCGTATGGCGTATCCGCTCAGCGTGTTGAACTGCACGGTACAGTCGGTCCCGGCTCCGTACGTCCCGCGACGGCTGTACACGATGTACCCAGACGTGGCCGGCTGGAGAGTCACCAGCGAGCCGCAGCTACCGTGCATCTCACCTGAAACGCAGCAGATTTAAGTCGTTGTGGCTATCAAAGAAAGCTTCGTGAACAGGAAAGCTTGCCTGGAATCCATCCGTGAACGCTGTGTATCCTTAGCCTCTACCAGGCGTCGGGAGGCGACTGAAATTGGCTAACTGATAGAGAGATAACATGCCAGGGGAGTTGCTCCGCTAGAGAGAACACTTTGCTGGTTTATACTTCTCTATTTGGCTAATTTCTACTCTTTCCAGTCACCTCCCGAAGCCTGGTAAAGGATAGGGTATCCTGCAGAACCGGTGCAACGGAGCGAATACACAACCTTCGATTCACGGATGGATTGTAGGTTGAATCATTGTAATTTTCAAAATCATATATTGTGTATATGTATAGTATTTTTTTTTTTACTCACGGGCCGGACACATGGCCCAGGCGCTCGTCCACTCATCGCTCCTGTCCGAACAGTCCGTTACACCGTCGCACATATGGCGGCTGTCTACATAAACTCCGTCAGCACAGTGATTGAGAGGATAGCCTGAAACATAGTTCAGAAGTTTTGGTGGATTCTAAAAAATACAAGAGAAGGGTGATGAAAGGCTAATTTCATTCTTCAACCCCTAAATCTTTAAAGCAAAAACTAAATTGATACGTCCATTGCAAATTTCTAGCAGAAAATGGTCGGTATTCTTGCCCTACCGTAACCTCTACCTGTACGAAGACACTGTGTGCATTATCATACATGTATATACAAATACCTGCACGACAGTCGGCAGGCTCGTCACTGGCGTCCCCACAGTTGTCCATTTGATCGCATTTCAGATTCGGGTCTATACAGCGGGAGTTGGAGCACAGGAACCTGCTATTATGGCAACCTGAGAGGACAGTCGGGGCAAAACAGACACGGTTTTACTAGTATACTTACTATTGAGGCTTTTTTTGTCACAATTTAGAGGAATACTTTATACGAGTTTAGTCAGACTTACTGAAAACCTGTTACCATCAACACAACAAGACATCGGAGATTTCAGACAAAAGTGATTTGGAAATTGGAACTGTGGAGGGGATTGTACGGCGTAATTTCGTCTTGCATTACACCATAAAATGTCGCTACGTAGACGTGAAACAGTCTGCCACCGAAAACAGTACTTCCGGTAACCGAAGGAATAGTTAAGAAAGACGAGACTCTACCTGTGCCGACGACACGATCCGTGAAACTCGTGTAAAGTATCTTGAAGGACCCTCTGGTGGAACTGTCTGTAACAAGGCGAAGTGTGACTGCAGATGATGATGAGGTGTAGTCCACAATCGGCTGGGAGTTACAGATGGCCTTGGTGTGGCCGGCGGCGGGGCGGTTAAAACTGGACACAGCGCCCTCGTACAGATACAGGTAGTCATAGCAGGAATACTGGCCGTTGCTCTCTATATCGATATTGATGAACTGCGACCGGAATGAAATGGGGAATGAAAAAATGTTAGCAACTTACGTTGTTCGCCAGACTCGTTGCGACTTTGTGACACTTTGTAAACCATACGTAATATCCAAAACATTCCAATATGGTTTTGACATATAGTCAGAAAACGTATGACATTATATGATAACATATAGTATAATATACCATGCCTTTCTTTATACTTTGACTTAATGGTATTTCACAGAAAAAAAGAAGCATAGGCATACTATAATCATTGTTCCCTCCAGTCATGAACAAACTAAATAGGTAAATGGTTACATAGAATCGGTCACATTTGTTACCTGCAGTAATATCCTTACACTCCTACTAGATGTCTTGAGGATGACAGAACAGTCGGTATTGTGGTCGTACGATCTGCCATGCCGGTCCCACTCCACGTACCCTGCACTGCCTAGCGATACCGACTCGCCACAGTTATCCTTCATGTAAACTGGAGTATTCATGAGATAAAAAAAATAAGTTTCACGTTGGCATCAAAACGGGACAAGAAAATACTACGAGAAACGTTCGTGGAACTCCGCCGTTTGAGGTCGTTTGAGGTCAAATAAGAAAACTTAAATTGAGCAGCGTCATTGTGTCTTACGCATATATTGCCTTAGCAATGACGCAATAAACATAACGAATGGAAAACGTAGCTCCTATCTCATAAATTCATAAATGTCTTAAGTTCAGAGTAAGTTAATTCAGTGCATCACGTCTCTGTGACTGTAATTCTATGCCAACTGCATTAAATATAGTATGTATAATGGTAATGAGAAAAATGTTTGCATGCTTCCCGTGCGCGCAAAATAGACTGTCTACTGTACATCGACTTTTAAATACTACATAAACATGGCAATCGATCTGACCCTTACGTAGTACAGCCTTCACCCAACAACACAGTCTCCCAATTTGCACTTACGTGGTCCAAAGGCAATCATTCTATCAGCTGTCAGCTGTTACATCATATACAAATAAGCTACATATACAGCCAAGAGCGTCTGCAGTAGCTACAAGTATGTGTATAGTAGCAGTGAAAGATACGACATAGATGGGTCACTGCATACGACATTTTATAGAAGGTAGTTTATTTTTAGCATAGCAACATGGCTGCGATTATTTGGGGAGGGGAGCACCAAAACTCAAAACAGACTTACTTGTTGAGTACCTGAACCCAAGGACAAAACTCGATCCCAGAGCAGTCAGGAGAAGGAATGTGTAAAACATGGCCTTTTGTATAACTAACATGACCGCGTCACAAAGGCTGTTGACTGGCTTGTAGATGACGATAAACAAACCCAGTAGGCATCAGACGGCAGTGGGCAGGGCGTACGTTAGCTATGGACCGAGAGGACGCAAAAGGCATGGGCGGAATGCCAAATGGCACATGGACAGTACCATTCCCACTCGGCACGGGGGAGGACTGGTTGTTAGTGAATGTGTAGTGTTTTCGTAAAGAAGAACAAAACTTTAATTTCGGCCATATAAAATGCACACGATAGATAGCTGATGCAGGTATCTATGGACACAAACCCTACTTCTTGGCAAACGATCTGAGATCACAAGTGACCTTGACGTCGACGGTCGACCTATGGTTTAGGGGGCGCCTTAAAATTGTACAAGTTTCGCACGGACTGCAGTCCTAAGCTAGGTCAGAAGAGGTCGCTGTTGTAAAGGTTTGTCCGCGCGGTGTGTTGTGGGATTCAGTAAGCAAACACTTTGCGGCCTCGTTCTGGAACCTGGACTTACCTGTTATCAGGTAACGCCAGTTGAGACAGACGCGTCCGTCTGGTCCCATGTAAATTCCCTCACCTAGGAAAATCAGGAAATGTACAGGTAAGAAAGTGAATCCTATCCGGACCTCTGCTCATTGTACTATGAATAGATACTGGCTATACATGTCTAACTCGTTTCGATGTTCTAGATTTAACCGGCAAGTGCAGTGAAGACAATACGGAAGTAAAATGGAATAAATGACCCCCTGAAAATTATGAAGGTTTTAGAGTTACAGACTAACATGATTGAGAGTAGTACACTGAGTACTGTATAAAGTTAACTTGGATCGGAACGGTCTGTAAAAATACGGTTATTAATATTTTATGTGTATAAATCGGTTAACGTTACAAGCAATATCAAACTACAGTCGACCTTCTGTACACGTGAAAAAATACTCCACGTACCTCATAAAGAAGGGTGTAACATACATTGCAATTATACACCAGCCTATGCTGTGAGTATATACCTAGACTAATTATAATTTTCGTGAAATGAGAAGTAACGTAGCGGGGCGATGCAATAAAGGAATGAATTTGGAGCTAAAGTATTACAATCGTAGTTAAATCAAAGATGTAATAGTTGGTATTGGCAGGGGAGGGGCAAATGGGAATTGAAACTTTGAAAGTAAACAAAAACTAACTCTTAACGTTTCTCCACCCTGTAGGTATGTCTGAGTGAAAAATAGAACCAAGAGTCCTTTTCTAGACATATGCATGTATGTGATCAACAACGAAAGTTTGAGTTAACTCCTTGCACTATCAGCAAAGTAGAATACCAAATGGAGGAAAGACACAAAGCCCTACTCCGCGCCAAACGATTGGAAATAGCAAGTGACCTGCGGTTCAGGGACATTCGGAGACGTCTTCTGAACAGCGGAATCCTGGATGGAGAGAACCTGGACGATATTGAGAATGAACAATCACGCGGAGACCAAGTAAACGCCTTGCTAGACATTCTTCCTACCAAAGGACCGAATGCATTCTCGGTGTTTCGCGATGCTCTGAATGACAGTGGTTACCCACATTTGGCACGGATCTTGAACGCCGAAAGCCAGCAAGCACCCACCAGAGGTAACGTTATGTTCAGCTTGGACTGCATAAGCAACTTTCATATATTTATATAAACAATGAATGGATGTCGATGTTCACAGCGGTATCAATGATATATCATATTTAATCTACATAATGGGCTTTCAGTATGACATGACTCATTCGTTCGTCGGTAATTTGTAGCCTCCTTCGCAGTCTTGTTGGGTGTCGGCGTTATTTTTTCTGTGCGCGACGCGAGTAATATGCCGCCGCGGGGGACGATTTGCTG